CCACAAGTTCACTTTTCAAAAATATCTATTTAGATTGGAAACTGACGGACCCTGGACATCCACAAGTTCACTTTTCAAAAATATCTATTTAGATTGGAAACTGACGGATCCTGGACATCCACAAGTTCACTTTTCAAAAATGTCTATTTTGGATTGGAAACTGACGGACCCTGGACATTCACAAGTTCACTTTTCAAAAATATCTATTTAGATTGGAAACTGACGGATCCTGGACATCCACAAGTTCACTTTTCAAAAATGTCTATTTAGATTGGAAACTGACGGATCCTGGACATCCACAAGTTCACTTTTCAAAAATATCTAATTAAATTGGAAACTTCGACACAACTTCTTTAACGATTTAATTGGTTTCACATATTGACAACTGAACAGTGATACTATATTATATCATATCTACGTAATTAAAGTAGAAACCTCTGTGTGATTATTACTCAGAAACACCCAAACCGATATGCCTCAAATTTGATTGGAAAATTCGGCAGAACCACTAGCATGTTCTCAGTTTGGTTTACAGCTTCTAACTTGAGTGGGTGACTTTTAAAGCGAAAGTTTATAGTTTCCAAGATAATCTAGGTTTCTTAGCTAGTTTACCATATATTTATTTATATTGACATGTACATGTAATTAGAGCATGGTAACATTGAAATGATTAAATGATATATTTAGAAAACTAAAAGAAATTGAGGGTTTCCCAAGCTCAAATTTTCTAATCCTTATATCTCTGCAACCGCGGGTTAAACCATTGATATTTCAAACATAGATTATTTGAATTCATAGTTTGAAATATAAAATGTCGACGATATTCATGTTGCAAAGATATAGGGATAAGGAAATTTGAGTTGGTGAACAAAACTTAGTTCCTTTACAATTAGTATTAGGTGTGTTGTCATAGTTAGTCCCCCCGTTTACCCGCACATGGTTGTAAATTACGGTTTTAGCTATTTTTTCCTTTAAAAATGAACCCAATCAATTTATAATCTTAAAACCAAGTTAAAAAACATTCCCGTGGTCCTACCGAGTTTCCCAATAAAATTTCAGACAAATCGGTCCAGGGGTTTCTGAGATATAATCGGACAAACAAACAAACAGACAAACAGAGATTACAGCTTTATATATATAGATATATCTTTGCAATAATGATCAGACACATTTTAAGATATTTTTCGCAATACTGAGTTATGACCAGCTAAAATCTTCTGAGATATTCTTAACATTCTCTTCTTAAAATCTAACAAATTTTTCCCCTTTTTCTGGTAACTTTAACTTACAAATATGACTTTTAAGCTTCAGTAGCAAGTTCTTGTACTTACATCATGCAACAAAAATCTTCCTGACGGATTTTAAAAACGGCGTTTTTTAGGTAACACTTTCGATTCCAATGTGAGTTTCCATGACGAAATTGGGCAGATCAAAGCCAATTATATCTATATAAAAATGATCTTCGCTCATATATAATATATACATAATACATTTATATATATATATATTTTAGCTATAGCTGGCCGAACGGCAACGCCAGGCACCTGGTGTTTACTAGAACTGTACAGTAATACCTGTGTACAGCAGTATACAGTGTACAGGAGTTCCTTTATATAGAGATTCCATACTTTCATGGTTTACTATAGAACTGTGCAGTAATAGTACTCATCTTTTTAGATTCAACTTGTTTTTAAGAGCCTTGAAACTACTCCATAATAATTAGTCTAATATGAGAACTTTAAAAATTATAAGTTTTATCTAGCCTAGAAGAATATAAATTCAAAAATAGAAGAACTTTTTGGAAATTGTTAAATCCAGAAAAATGGCATCGGTTGTTTGACAGAGACAACCCTTGGCCTAGATTTGAATTCGAGGATTAGCAGGACAGGAAGTAGAAGTTCCGGAACAGAGGTTGGGATTAGAAGGGGGGAAGGGGGAAGGGATAAAAGTAGATGATGGAGAAGGGAAAAGTAGGAAGGTAAAGGATGGAGAAGGGAAAAGTAGGAAGGAAAAGGATGGAGAAGGGAAAAGTAGGAAGATAATGGATGAAGAAGGGAAAAGTAGGAAGGTAGAGGATGGAGAAGGGAAAAGTAGGAAGAGATAGGATGGAAAAGGGAACAGTAGGAAGAGATAGGATGGAAAAGGGAAAAGTAGGAATGTAGAGGATGGAGGAGGGAAAAGTAGGAAGATAAGAGGGAAGAGTAAGGGGAAAAGTAAGAGAGTAGGACAGGACGAAAAAGCTAGGAAGGATTGAGAGGTGTGTAGAGGGTTGTACGCATGAGAAAGAATAAAGGGAAGGAAGAAGGGAGAAGGGAAAGAGAGAAAGGAATGGAAATAGGGGAAGGAAATGGGAAGAATGAAGGGTAAAAATTTAGGGGAAGAAGGGAGAAGTGCAAGGGAGAAGGGAAAAAGGGAAACAAAGAGAGGAAGAGAGAGAGGAAAGTAAGAAGGGGAAGGGAGAAGGAAGCAGAGAAAAAAGGAGAAGTGAAAACAAGAAGGGCAAGGGATATATGGGAGGTGGAAGAAGAGAGAATATGAGAAGGTAGTAGGGAGAAGGGAGAAGGGAGAAGGGAGAAGGGGTCAAGGGAACCTGAGTGGAGTCCGGAAAAGAAAGGAGTTGGTGGAACGGAAAAGAGTAAAAAGGGGTTGTAGGAGGGAAAAAGGGGAGGAGGTATATCAGGGGGAGGGGAGCGCAACAGATGAAAACCAAATATTTCATAAAGAAAGATCCCCGGGAATCCTGACAGTGAAACTTTTGAAGGGATTCAGTTCTAGAACAATAAAGAAAGGTGGCGGGGAAACCTTCCCTTGCACCTTGAACTTGAAATCTGCAAAAGGGGAAAATTTTCTTTGAATAAGAATACAAAGATATCTTTATAGTATTTTTTCTTTGATTATTTAAACCTGATTTTAGCCTTTTATTCTTCCAATTACTCTAGATTTCTCTACAATTAATTAAGTCTCTTGTTTTAATGTGCATTGTGCATGTGAAAATGAATTTTTAGCCACTTCAAAAAATCTATAATTATTATGTAACCAATTTGTGTCAAAAGGAGTTGAGTCTTTGTCACAAACCCTGATTTTCGTATCCATTTATCTTTGCAACCAAATGTCGTAGATATACATTTTAAACTATTGTTAGATTAATTAATTTAAGTTAAAATATCAAAGGTTTAGATAATCTGATTGCAAAGATATAAGAATTTGAAAAGTTTATTGTAAAGACACAATTAATTTATTCAACTTTTTTTAAATCTAAAAATATTTCTTTGGCAAATCGCACTTGCTATTTTTAAAGCATGTTGTATCGGAATATATCTAAACAGTAAGATTTGGTATTTTGTGTATTTTCAAATAAATGAACAATCCCTTTTATAGGGAAAACTCCGGGCAACGCTGGGCTCTCAAGATAGTTTTTTAAAAGTAAAGAATTCCTTAAAGCTTCCAATAGTCAAATACTTACTTTTTGATTGCGGGGGATTTCTAGAATATGATTCTCTCTGGATGAATAAAAAAATTGTATTTGTACTCTAATCTGAAATAGTTTTCATTCTTTCTAAAATATTGAAAATCATGTTTATCTATATCTTGATGGTTTCTATGTTAACTATATTTTGACGAAGATGTTTGATATATTTATAGATCTGGACTCCATAGTTAGCATATCTAGATCTAGTTGTCTATATGGTTCTATACTTTGTAAAATATATCTAGAAGGTTCTATATCTAGATATCTAAATATATATATAGATGGTTTCTATATTTAATATTTCTAATATATTTACTTAATATATCTATTTCCGGCCAAATGGATCTTATATTTGGTATATCTAGAAAGGAATAAACGAATTCCAGTATTTAACAATATCTATATCTAGATGTTTCCTTCATTTAAAATATCTAGATCGTTTTGGTTTCAATAATTAATGTTCAACAAATTTATGTATCTTAATGGTTCCTATATTTAAAATATCTAGATCTAGATATTGTTATTTAAGATATATTCAGCTAAAGAAATTAAAGTCCTTAGTAGATACTTTTATGGCTTGCCTAACCAAAGTTTATAAACTATGAGTAATCTATAAATATCGTTTTTGATATAACCACTGCAAGGACGGTTCTCACATTTCTCCCAAAAACTACATGCATATTTTTTGGTTCCTTTATATTTAATATATAAAGATATGATATGCTTATCTGTAGAAATGAACGTCCTGAGTCGAGCCTTCATAAACTATGAGTAATCTATAATGTATCGTTTTTGTTAAAAACAAACGCAGTCCTAGCAGTATTGAGTTTATTCATTTAATCCGCCCAGAAACTGCAGTACATTTTTTTGTAAACAAATCTTTGTGGAATCCCATAGTGTTTTTAATTCTTTGTTTTAGGAAATCCCGATATCTAGAATTTTAGAGAGCGGTTTGACTGTTAAGAAACTTCCATATAATTTATGTTATTTCACAGGTTTACATTTTACAATCACTTGATGCTTTTATTCATATTATCAGGAAATCCTGTTTAGAATAAAAAGTGTAGATGGTTCTTCCTTCCGATTTATCTGTGACTAGAAATAAAATGGTTCAGGTAGTTTTCTTCAAGCTGTCCGGGCATACAACCCGATATTGGACTTCAACATTTCAACCTTGGTTGCATGATTTAGCGTAACTATAATCATCAGTAGTTAATTAATACCTTCTTTTATTGATTTCTATAAACCTTAGAAATTTACGAGTTGTCTAATGTCTAATGTCTAATGGTTTCATTTCAATGTTTTTTTATCTTTTAAATAATTTTTGATACTTTTTCCGTTAAGTTCTCTCATGTACTCATCTTTTTATATTCAGCTTGTTTTTTTCCGTTTAGTTCTCATGTAATCATCTTTTTAGATTCAACTTGTTTTTTCGTTTAGTTCTCATGTACTCATCTTTTTATATTCACCTTGCTTTTCCGTTTAGTTCTCATGTACTCATCTTTTTAGATTCAACTTGTTTTTCCGTTTAGTTCTTATGTACTAATCTTTATATATTCAACTTGTTTTTCCGTTGAGTTCTCATGTACTCATCTTTTTATATTCAACTTGTTTTTCCGTTAAGTTCTCATGTAATCATCTTTTCATATTTAACTTGTTTTTCCGTTAAGTTCTCATGTACTCATCTTTTTATATTCAACTTGTTTTTCCGTTAAGTTCTCATGTACTCATCTTTTTATATTCAACTTGTTTTTCCGTTTAGTTCTCATGTACTCATCTTTTTATATTCAACTTTTTTTCGTTTAGTTCTCATGTACTCATCTTTTTATAGTCAACTTGTTTTTCTCCCTTGCAACCTTGTAAAAACTGGTCTTTTTCGTATAAACAATTAGAAGGAGACAAAAAAATGAACCGATAAGCCAAAAACCAGAAACTCTGATTATTTAATCCATGTATCTACACGATGTCGGAGATCTGTGATATTTCAATTTTTTAGTTCTGTAAGATCAAAAAGATATAAGGATTGAAAAATTTGAGTTCGTGACCAAAAATAAATTCCTTGATTTTAGGTTCCTATTTAAAAAGATTCCTAAAGAAATTGAGTCTTTGCTACAAATTCTGGTTTTCTCATCGTTTATCTTTGCAACACAATGTCGGAGACCTTTGATATTAAAACTGTGTTAGATCAAATAATCAAAAATTGATATATCAAAAGATATACACCATCAGGTTGTAAATATATATGGTTTAGAAAATTTGAGTTTGTGGCAAGAAAACAGTTCTTTTATATAGAGATTCCATACTTTCATGGTTTACTAGAACTGTACAGTAATACCTGTGTACAGCAGTATACAGTGTACAGGAGTTCCTTTATATAGAGATTCCATACTTTCATGGTTTACTATAGAACTGTGCAGTAATACCTATGTACAGCAGATTAAAACACAGAATATTTTTCCATTTTCATTCCTGTATATACATATATGATGTATATATATATATATATATATATAATAAATGACGAGCTTAATTATATAGATATTTGGATATACGAGAAGATTTTTGATAATTGAACCACTAAGTTCAAATTGTGTATTTTTATATTTCAGGTTGTTTTAAGAGTTTCATCTTTTGTCGATAACTCTGTATATTACAAAAAACGTTTCGATCTTTGTATATTTATAACTTAACAATAAATTATATTTAATGGATCGTCTATGTTATTTTTAACGTTGTTGCAGGAAATGATAAATTAATTAATATAAGTGCTTCCGTGTATCAAAATATCAATTGAGAAAACAAAATTTTTTGCGGTTTAGTATGATTAGAATGCAGATACGGGTGAATGACCGGGACGTATTACTTTCACTTAAAACACGATTTCTTGAATGCATTGTGAGAGAAAATATCATCACAATAGGTACCAAACATAATTAGTACGATTTTTTTCGAAAAAAAATGTATATCGTGAAGATGCTAACCTAATTTAAAAGCCTATAGAAAATATAATAAAACACAAAGGAATTGAGTCTTTGCTAGAAACTCAGATTTTCTAATCCCTAGATCTAGCAATCTAATGTCCTAAACCTTACATATTTCAAACCAAACTTTTCTATCTAATCTGAGCTGAAAACTTTAGAATGTGATATCCTTAATCCGAATCTGTTGACTTTTCAGGAGATTAAATTCATGTGGAGAACAAGCCATATTTAATCTAGATATTAAGGAAAAGTTTGGTTTAAGCATTAATCCTGATATCCACCATTCTAAAGTTTTCAGCTCCGAGCTGAAAACTAAAGAATGCACGAATTTGAAGTTCGAGGTTAAAAGTTCTGTAAAATAATGAGTAGCTACTTAAAGATTAAACCTTCTCAATTTTAAATCTAAATTTCTCGTGAAAAATCTGAACCAATCAGAGAAAAGGATTTAGGGAGAATTTTTACATAACTATCGGTAATCAGCTGTTTTTAAAATTATTTTTAAAATATATACGTAAAGGAAAACAAAACATATTTCCAGTTACAACCGTATTTAGGGTTTAAGTCCAAATATTAAATGATCTAAAACGTGAAATTTATTAAATCAAGGTTTTTACTTTTAAATATATCGTAATTAGTTGAATGCTGCTTACCGCTGAATAGACAAATAGGGATTTCAAGATTTTAACCCTGTGTTTAAATTTTAACTCGTCGATTTAGGCCAGTTAAATATTTAACCACAGGGTTAAATATTTAACCTCACGGTTAAAGTTCAGGTTTAAATTAAGTAAGAAGTGACATTTAACCATGAACTTAAAATTTAAGTCAAAACTTTTCGTTCTTTAGTTTTGGACTCTGTTCTATCAAATAGTTTGATTTATAAAAGGTTTACACAATTAGAAAATTTTAGCCAGCAAGGATTCAAGATTTTGGAGCCTTCTTCTTAAAAAATGTAGATTACTGCACAAGGTGCATTATTGTCTGTGAATTTGTTTAGCAAATTAAAAGCATTGTGGCCTTTCAACCATATGTCGGAATACATATTAACACTGTGTTACAATTCTTTGCGTAAATGTCACTAAATACATTATTACATAATTATCGAGTTCAAGGTGCCAGTTAAAATATACCTACCGGTACACCTTGAAAGAACAAAAATATTAATCTAGAAAAAGAAAAAAATCTCAAGACAATAATTTCAATTTAGTTTTTTGCGAACATGAAATTATGTACTGGCTCGTGCAATGGCTTGATTTCTTTCATTTAATTTAATTACACAGATATCAAACAAAATTTATTCACGACGTTAACAATTACAAAGAGAAATGAAATTATATAAAAATATTAAGAGAAATAGTGTGAATTATAATCATAATCTTCTGTGTTCTGATATGAAGAATATTGGTAGGGTTGATTATACTGGTATGAGTATGAATCCCTGTACGGATTTATAGAATCTAATGCTTGATACAAGACGGATCCAATCCTATCCTGGAATCCATCAGCTTCTGAGAACAGCTGAGTTCGACCCAATAATCCTAAAAATATCGTATATTGTATATATATATATATATATATATATATAATTATCTTTTAATATGTGTATTCTAGTATCAATTGGTTCTTTTAATAAAGTCCCGATTCTAAACTATTTTTACTAAATGTCTGATAAATAAATCCTGATACTAAAGTCCAGATAGTAAGGAACTGAATCCTGGTATTTAAAGTTGTGATACTTAATTTTTTATATCTAGGTCCTCATACTAAGGAACTGAATCCTGATACTGAAGTCCAGAAAGTAAAGTCCAGATACTAAGGAACTGAATCCTGATACTAAAGTCCAGAAAGTAAAGTTCAAATTCTAAGGTACTGATCCCTGATACTGAAGTCCAAGAAAGTAAAGTCCAGATACTAAGGAACTGAATCCTGATACTGAAGTCCAGAAAGTAAAGTTCAGATACTAAGGAACTGAATCCTGAAACTAAGTCCTGAAAGTAAAATTCAGATACTAAGTAACTGAATCCTGATACAAAAGTCCAGAAAGTAAAGTCCAGATACTAAAGAACTGAACCCTGATAATAAGTCCTGAAAGTAAAATCCAGATATTAAGGAACTGAATCCTGATACTGAAGTTCAGAGAGTAAAGTTCAGATACTAAGGAACTGAATTCTGATACTAAAGTAAAATTCAGATACTAAGTAAATGAATCCTGATACTAAAGTCCAGAAAGTAAAGTCGAGATACTAAGGAACTAAATCCTGATACTTAAGTCCTCATAGAAAAGTCCAGATACTAATGAACTGAATCCTGATACTAAAGTACTGAAAGTAAAGTCCAGATATTAAGGAACTGAATCCTGATATTAAAGTCCTGAAAGTAAAGTCCAGATACTAAGGAACTAAATCATGATACTAAGTCAGAAAGTAATATTTAAATACTAAGGAACTGAATCCTGATACTAAAGTCCTGAAAGTAAAATCCAGATACTAAGGAACTGAATCATGATACTAAGTCCTAAAAGTAACATTCAGATACTAAGTAACTGAATCCTGATACTAAAGTCCTGAAATGAAAGTCCAGATTCTAAGGAACTGAATCCTGATACTTAAGTCATGATATTCAAATCCTGACAATAAAGCCCTGATACTGAAATTTTAATACTAAAGATCTCTTAGTAAAATCCTGATAAAAAGTTTTTTTACATAAAAGGGCTGATACTAAAGTCCTGACAATAAAGTTATGATACTACAGTAGGTGTTGTATGTCTTTAAAGTCTTGAAAAACGTCCTTCTTCGTTGTCCTTCGTACAAATGATGAGTGATTTAATATATTTGCTTTAATCTGCTGTTATGTTTTAGTATGGAAGCAGACTTTTTATAATTATGTGAACCATTTTGATTTTTTTAATTTTACAATGTTTATTATTTCATGGTGATATAATTACATCTTTTAGATCAACACTACATTGGGTAAAAGAAAATTACCATCTCTAATTTGAATTAGAATTTAAACGACCTAATACAATGTCTAATAATTTATAATTAGATTTTTTTTTTAATTCTCGGTATTTTTTCCCAGGCTGTGCAAAGTTCCGTTAACAAACGCGCGGCAGGTTTTTGAAAATGACTGGAAAAATGAAAGTCCTAATTTTGTTTCGAATTTTAAATGAGGGTTCTAAGTATATTATTGATGATTGTGTAAGTGTATCCATTATTTGCGTGTGAAAATATCTTTTTCTGGTTATATATGCTGAAATATCCGTTTACTGAGACAAGAAGTGATTCTTTGTCACAAAATCAAATTTTCTAACTCTTATATCTTTGCAACCATATGGTTTACATCATTGATATTTCAAGCTTAGATTTTTTAATCTAACAGAATACTTAGTTTGAAATTTATTAGATCTACGCCATTTGGTTGCATTGATAACGCGATTAGAAAATCATGAGTTTGTGGCAAAGACTCAATTTATTTGATTTAATCTCAATCCAAAGAAAATTTTGAGGATTTTATCTTAAAAACGGTTCAAATATAATTAATGAATTACTTGTTATGTCAAGACAATTTTTAAAACTGACCATATGGTTTCAAGTTTCATTTAGATTTTAGTATTTGTTTTATTAATGATTCTTGATAAAACCTTGAAGGTCTGAAAAATTAAAGATAGAAATACATCTTTGATATTTCGTAAGGTTTTCGTAATCAATGATTAAATACTAAATATTGATGATAATCCATGGATGAATGAAAAAATATACTCACTTGTAGAAATGACATCTAAAGCCTGTGTACTCAGTCCTGAATAGAGATACACAGCTGCTGCACCCAGGATACCAACTCCAACAGCAATATACAGAGCTGTGGGTACACTTACACCTAGATATACAGATGAACAACTAGTATACAAGGACACCAACTCCAACAGCAATATCCAGAGCTGTGGGTACACTTACACCTAGATATACAGATGAACAGCTAGTATACAAGGATACCAACTCCAACAGCAATGTACAGAGCTGTGGGTACACTTACACCTATAAAGATGAACAGCTAGTATACAAGGACACCAGCTCCAATAGCAATATACAGAGCAGTAGGTAAACTTACACTTAGATATACAGATATACACCTAGTATACAAGGATACCAACTCCAACAGCAATATACAGAGCTGTGGGTACACTTACACCTAGATATACAGATGAACAGCTAGTATACAAGGACACCAACTCCAACAGCAATATACAGAGCTGTGGGTACACTTACACCTAGATATACAGATGAACAACTAGTATACAAGAACACCAACTCCAACAGCAATATACAGAGCTGTGGGTACACTTACACCTATAAAGATGAACAGCTAGTATACAAGGAAACCAGCCCCAATAGCAATATACAGAGCAGTAGGTAAACTTACACTTAGATATACAGATATACACCTAGTATACAAGGATACCAACTCCAACAGCAATATACAGAGCTGTGGGTACACTTACACCTAGATATACAGATGAACAGCTAGTATACAAGGACACCAACTCCAACAGCAATATACAGAGCTGTGGGTACACTTACACCTAGATATACAGATGAACAGCTAGTATACAAGGACACCAACTCCAACAGCAATATACAGAGCTGTGGGTACACTTACACCTATAAAGATGAACAGCTAGTATACAAGGAAACCAGCCCCAATAGCAATATACAGAGCAGTAGGTAAACTTACACTTAGATATACAGATATACACCTAGTATACAAGGATACCAACTCCAACAGCAATATGCAGAGCTGTGGGTACACTTACACCTATACAGATGAACAACTAGTATACAAGGATACCAACTACAACAGCAATATACTGAGCTGTGGGTACACTTACACCTAGATATACAGATGAACAACTAGTATACAAGAACACCAACTCCAACAGCAATATACAGAGCAGTGGGTACACTTACACCTAGATACACAGATGAACAGCTAGTATACAAGTAAACCAACTCCAACAGCAATATACAGAGCTGTGGGTACACTTACACCTAGATATACAGATGAACAGATAGTATACAAGTACACCAACTCCAACAGCAACATACAGAGCTGTGGGTACACTTACACCTAGATATACAGATGAACAACAGATAGTATACAAGTACACCAACTCCAACAGCAACATACAGAGCTGTGGGTACACTTACACCTAGATATACAGATGAACAACTAGTATACAAGGACACCAACTCCAACAGCAATGTACAGAGCAGTGTGTACACTTATTTCTAGGTATACGGATATACAGACATACACCTAGTATACAAGGATACCAATTCCAACAGCAACATACAGAGCAGTGGATACAATTACACCTAGATATACAGATATACATATAGTATACAAGGATTATACTCAAACTTATAATTGGCTTATCCTTATCTCTTTGCATCCATAATGTTTTATATTTCAGCCCAGTAGTTCTCCTTTAGATCAATAGTTGTAAATATCAGAGGTGTTAAACACATGTTGCCAATATGTAAGAGTGTGTTGCAAGTAATCAGTTTCTTGAATAATATACTGGTAAGCATATAAATCAATACAAAATCGTTTTGATATAATACAGAGGCTAAAAACATATGTTTCAAAACAGTATCCTGTACTGAAATTCTTCACAACACAGAGTGGTTGGAGTCAATATTAATGAAATATCAGGTACTGAAATTCTACATAAAACCGAGTGGTCGGAGTGTATTTAAAGAAACATCAGGTAGTGAAATTCTACATAAGACAGAATGGTCGGAGTGTATATTAATGAAATATCAGGTACTGAAATTCTATATAAAACCGAGTGGTCGGAGTGTATATTAATGAAATATCAGGTACTGAAAGACTATATAAGACAGAGTGGTCGGAGTGTATATTAATGAAATATCAGGTACTGAAATTCTACATAAAACAGAGTGGTCGGAGTGTATATTAATGAAATATCAGGTACTGAAATTCTACATAAAGCAGAGTGGTCGGAGCGTATATTAATGAAATATCAGGTACTAAAATTGTATTATATCACCATTTCGGTAATTAACACTGTATTAATATATATATGCTGACAACTGTATATAATTATATTACTTATCATCCTTAGGGTGAAATAAAGGGATTGCTCGCCCATTCTGTAACTGAATTATTAAACTGAGAATATCGAACATTCTTGTTTAGTTTAGTCACAATCCTAAGTTTAGAAATCATTTTGAAATTGATGAACTATTCCTTTAAAGAACTATGACATCCAGTCATCGTAAGTTTTTTTTTCAAAATAGGTTTTTAAACATTGTATTAAACCTGGAATCTGGAGGTAGGGTAGAGTAGCAAATATATCTTGTTTGGAGGGTGAAAACCCACTCACTCCACCGAAAACATAGGTTGGTTTATAAACAGAAACTGTACTCGACAGCGCACCTGCAATACAAACCAAAATCATCCTTCATGCTCTTAAACCACGATACATACATTTCAATGAAGGTAAACTCATATCGTAAACGTACTTAATTACCAATTCTGATATTTTTAAAGATTATGAAAAACCTGAAATGCTGTCACTTTTTGCCTAATAATTATTGAATGATTTAGGGATGATTTCAATTACTTGTTAATTTTACTTTTTACAACTTCTTAATATTTTTGTTCAAAGGAATTGAGTCTTTGCAACAAATCCCAATTTTCTAATACCTGTAAATCTACAACCAAATTATGTATACCTTTGACATTTCAAACTTTGACTGTTTGATATAACCGAAGTCATAGTTTGAAATATCTAAGGTCTACAACATTGGGTTGTTAAGATAGAAATTTAAAAATCAGAGTTTGTGACAAAGACTCAATTCCTTTGTTAAGAAAGTTCAAAATTTTTATGTAGGATTTTTATACAAAATTTAGAATAATGTTTATTTTTTAAATAGTTTTTAGTTTATATCAGAATTTAAAAGATATATTACTTGAGTATCCAGTAGAAATGACGGAGTATGAAGCAAGGTTGATTGAAACAAAGCTACGAGATATTCCTCTTGTTCTTAGAATAGACGCCGCTACTTGTCTAGTACCCTGAGAAGATGATATCTCGGAACCTATTGATGGTATAAAGTCCTGCAGATCTCCACTAATACGTTGATTAGTATTTTCCTCCGATCCTGAACCTTCTCCGGATCCGTCTCCGACATCCAGAACGGTATCCTCTCCTCCGGTCTCTGATGTAGCTAGGGATCGGAGGACTGTCAGACAATTATTTCTCAACGCGTCCCAGGTGAGATCTGGAATGATTCCATCGGCATGCCCCTCTGCTAGTATCTCAGCAAGTTTCTGAGCTTGAACTACTCCAGCCAGTCCAGAACACTGCTGGTTACCCTGGATAAGCCAAATCTCCGGGTGAGTTTTTTCCCCAATTAGTTCACTGTTTTGGGTCTCAAAACTACAAATCATCTTGACACGGTTATCTTGAACCCTCTGCATGATGATCCCGACATTAGTTTGCCCGTCTGTACTCGCCATAGCGTACGGAGCTGTCTCAAGAACGGTTTCTTCAGGTTCAGGATCTCCGGATCCATCCTCAGCTTCTAGAACCTCCTCTCCGGACCCTGAACCATCCTCAGCTTCTTCGGATGCTTCCTGTCCTGAACCCTGATCTCTCCAAACGTTGTCTATTGGTTGGATGGAATTTGAATCTTCTCCGTCCTCAACTTGATTTCCGAGTCCGGCTTCAAGCTCAGATAAATCTTCAGGATCGTCTGCTATTCTTCCGCTAAAAATGTTATATAAAATCTCTTTTTATAATATTTTTTAGCTGGTTTAACTTTTTAAATTTTTTTATATATCTTTGCAAATCGAAGCCTTAAACCTTTAATATTTTAAACTTGAATTATGATGGATCAAGTAATCTAAGTTTGAAATATGTCACAACCAAGTTTTGAAGATATAGGGGGTTACAAAATTTTAGTTTGCTTAAATGAATCATAATAAAAATATAAAAATTGTTAAAAATGAAATTTACCTTTCTAGATTTTCCGAAGCAGTAAGAGAGGGGAGGAACTATTTCCGGAGCGCTTGTATAGGAGGAAGGAGGGGATTGGTAACTTAGACAGAGGCCTCACGCGCCTATTGTTACTTAAATAGAGGTCTAAAGAGTACTGTTCTGAATCGGACATGCCACTTTTTTTTTAGAGGGACATTTGAAATTACATCTACAGTCCCTTTAAAGTCTATTCCTGGAAATATGAAATATAGATTTTGTGATAATTTCTCAAATACAAAAATTACAAATAATATTGTATGGCAATTTTGATAGAGAATTCATTCGAAAAAAAGATTCAAAATATATGAATCCGCCATACTTGTAAATTTATGGTTTTTATTTAAAAAATATTTTGCTCTACACGGCGGTATCCAAAAAACTGTGGAATGGTTCGTCTTCGCTCTTTCTTTTAACTAGAATTGTTGCTCAGAATATTTTTATTTTGAAATGCTCTATCTGAAGCATTGTCCCGACCTGAGGTCAACACTTGTGTGTGAAATGGCGCTAATTTACAACGAAGGGGAACTGAATTAATCCGAATTTAAAGAATTTGAGCCGCGGTTTAAATTTGAGACGCGGCACAAATTCATTAAATTCGGACACTGACCTCTGAACATTTTCAGAGATCCATTATAAATAAAACTGTATCCCTGGATCATAACTAAAAGTAAGAACGCAGACTACAACCTTTTCACTGTTTTCTGGTTAGAACTGTAAAATTAAAATCTACGATTTTTAATTAAAAATTAAAGTGCAAGGTTGCAATTTCCTGAAATTTCATCCTCAGCAAACACCACTAAACCGTCAAAATATTTAAATTTTATTGTTTAATGACCACCTCAAGGTGTAGTAGTATATAATTCCCAATAAACATGGGAATAAAGAGACGACTTGAAAATCGTCTTTGATCTCCTATAGTTGATAAATGACAAAGAATGAATCAAAATAAAGGTCACGTAATAATTCCGCGCAAACAAAGACGATAGAAAAGTCTTCACTGAATTCCCATGTTCATTGGGACACCCTGTATAAGAAAACACACATTTAATTTGTATGTTTTCTCAAGCTTGATGAGAACATTCTCACCATAATTTCGCCTTTAAAACTTTTAAATGAAATATTCTGTAAATTAAAGATTTGGGGTTTTTAATTTAAAGATTTCTTGTAATAATTGAATAATCACTATTTCTACATCTCAATTTCGACTTTTGAAGAAAGTAATTCAAATCTTTAATCTATATAAATAAAGTAGTATTCTCTGTTCATAACTCATGAACCCCTTGCCCGATTTCCTTCAAATTTAGACAGGCGAAGTCAGCAGAACCAAGGTTGACTTTGATGAGGAAAGTTTAGTTTTCAGGCAAAGCTGGGTTCCCAAGCTACTGCTAGTGCTGCATATTAATAATATTGAACAATTTTCGGACTTAGCTATAATTCTCTGGGCACAATAATGGTTAAAATTATTATACATTATACAATGCATATAAATACGTAATAAAAAAGGATAAAAAAGATCAAACTGAAAACTGGACTGATTGGGCTAAAAAATTCGAATCTTTTTTTCAAACATTTTTTTCAAAATTTTTTTCCACGGGCAACGCCGGGCCCTTCAACTAGTAAATAATAGATTAGCAACTCTAATTTGACACAAAATACAATACAGTATTTTGTCAAAAACCGGGGTGATAGATTTTGTAAGTTCAAATGATATAATACAATTTTTATGAATCTTTTTTCTTTCAAATCTCTCCTTTTAAAGCCTGCGTTCCAGTTGGTTTTTTCAGCTATTTATAATAAAAACATTTAATAGAAATAAAATGGTAGCAAAAAATCATAATAAAGTTCGTCCATAGCTCCTTCTTTCAAATAAGCAAACTCTTTTCAAAGTATGAATTACAAAATCCTAAGCGACGTTCTTAGTTTCAAAAATAAATAAAGACGACTTTTATTCCGGCTTTTAGGTTTTCACTGTAGAATCAGGATGAAAGAAATTTTGACAGGAAAGAGAAAGAGACTGGATCGGAGAGATAAGAACTGTGTCACAGTGAACGACCGGAAGAAGACAACTGGATAAGGATCTCTTTCGAACAGACGAGAAAAAATTTTAATGGGACTGTAAAGGAAAAATGAAAGGGGGTCCATATATACGTTTAGGTAAAACTTGGACGGAGTTTTATATCAATTTCTCAAGACAGGAGCATCAATTAGAACTCTGATATGTTTCAATAAACTCCTGATTTTCTCAGGTTTCCTCCTATACCCCCTTTCATTTTTTCCTTACAGTCCCTTTAAAGTATTTAAACTTTTAAAGAGACTGTAACCGTAAATACAAGCAACCCTCCATGCAAAGATTGCAATGCCCGAATCACAACAATGTTTGAATTAGATATCTTAACGTTTTTGATTTTAAAAACTGATTATTTTCAATTGTGATTTCTGCACAAAAGTGACTTGCGCATTTCTAATGCAGGAAAACATCAGAATTAAACACTTTTAAACCTAGAAGAACGACAATATTTACAGATCAGATGAAAATTTCAAAAGTATGTGAATCGGGCATTGGCACCTTTGCATTGAGAGTCCCTTTAATTAAGCGTAGAGTCGCTTTAATTACGCGTACAGTCCCTTTAATTACACGTACAGTCCCTTTAATTACGCGTACAGTCCCTTTAATTACGCGTATAGTTTCTTTAATTACGCGCACAGTCCCTTTAATTAAGCGTACATTCCCTTTAAGATATAGTAGAGTCATTTTAATTACGCGTTCAGTCCCTTTAATTACGCGTACAGTCCCTTTAATTACGCGTAAAGTCCTTTGAATTACGCATACAGTCCCTTTCATTACGCTTACAGTCCCTTTATGATATAGTTGTTTTGAAAAAAGATTTTATTTCACGCACTTTTATATAATCTGAGACAATTAACATTGTTTTAAAATATTTATATATTTTGTCCCTGAGAGAAAAAGTAGCAGAAGGATCCCACCTCTTCCCACCTTCATATTCTAGATTAGACTGAGCTCCATGAGCTCCTGGAGGTACATGCACCCGGAGTAATCAAGTAAAAATTCACAGGACAGGGGTTTTACGCTGGTTTTAGTAATTTAACCTGCCACCTGCTGAATCCGTGGAAACCTGGAATAATTCATTAATTCATGATGAAGTGATCAATCATTTCTCTCTCGCTTCCACGCACTTGGGATTTATTACACTGAGATAAAAAATCCTTTATTTAGAGACGAGATTTACTTGCTATTCTGATTAAAAGTAAAACAGTCTTAACTTCAGAACCCATTTTCATTCATTAAATGAAGATTTTTCGAATTTGCCATTATATACTTTTTTGTTGAGCTACAGTGAAAATCAAAAAGCTCTGGAATAGAAAGTTACTTTTAGATTCAAATGACTTAATTATTGTTTTGATGTCGTCTTCCTATAACACAGTTTTTTGGTTCTTACTATACACACGTATTTTAAATATTTAAGTACAAAAAGTCGTTTTCGCTATTTTTAACGGAATTAATCGAGGTCAAAATAATGAATGAAAATATTCCGATGCAGACAGAATGTTCTTCGATGTATTTAGTTTTACGTGTTTTGAAGTAGGTAACTATTACTTATCCTGGTTCCTCATGGAGTAGGTAACTATTACTTATCCTGGTTCCTCATGAAGTAGGTTGGTACTTATTTTTAATCATGGTTCCTCATGAAGTAGGTAACTATTACTTATCATAGTTCCTCATGAAGTAGGTAACTATTACTTAACCTTGTTCCTCATGAAGTAGGTAACTATTACTTATCCTGGTTCCTCATGAAGTAGGTAACTATTACTTATCCTGGTTCCTCATGAAGTAGGTAACTATTACTTAACCTTGTTTCTCATGAAGTAGGTAACTATTACTTATCCTGGTTCCTCATGAAGTAGGTAACTATTACTTATCCTGGTTCCTCATGGAGTAGGTAACTATTATTTATCCTGGTTCCTCATGGAGTAGGTAACTATTATTTTTAATCATGGTTCCGCATGAAGTAGGTAACTATTACTTATCCTGGTTCCTCATGGAGTAGGTAACTATTACTTATCCTGGTTCCTCATGAAGTAGGTAACTATTACTTATCCTGGTTTCTCATGAAGTAGGTTGGTACTTATTTTTAATCATGTTTCCGCATGAAGTAGGTAACTATTACTTATCCTGGTTCCTCATGGAGTAGGTAACTATTATTTATCCTGGTTCCTCATGGAGTAGGTAATTATTAATTATCCTGGTTCCTCATGGAGTAGGTAATTATTAATTATCCTGGTTCCTCATGAATAGGTAACTATTACTTATCCTGGTTCCTCATGAAGTAGGTTGGTACTTATTTTTAATCATGGTTCCTCGTGAAGTATGGACATATTAATTATCCTGGTTCCTCATTAAGACTGCCGTTATTCTTGGAGAAGGGAACTATTAGTTATCTTGGTTCCTCATGAAGACAGGTTCTTCTTGAAGAAGGAATTATCTTGGTTCCTAGTGAATTTAGTTGTATTTATTTTTTATCAAGGTATTCTCTTAAAGTATGATGTTATTGATTATCCTTGTTCTTCATGAAGTAGGGAATTATCAATTATCTTGGTTCCTCAGGAAGTAGCGCACTATTAAGTATCCTGCAGCTCATCATGAAGTAAGGAACTATTAATTATTCTAGTTCCTCATGAAGTATAGCTACGGATATATTAATTATCCTGGTTCCTCATGAAGTATAGAAACTATCAATTATCTTGGTTCCTCAGGAAGTAGGGCACTATTAAGTATCCTGCAGTTCATCATGAAGTATAGTTACGGATATATTAATTATCCTGGTTTCTCATGAAGTATAGAAACTATTAAATATCCTGGTTCCTCATTAAGTATAGAAATTATTAATTATCCTGGTTCCTCGTGAAGTATAGTAGAAACTATTAATTTTTATGGTTCCCCATGAAGTAGAGAATTGTTGATTTAATGTTGGTTTCTCATGGAGTAAGTGGAATTTATTTTAATCATGGTTCTCATAAAGTAGAGTATTGATATCATAGTTTTTAATATGACAGATGACAACTGTACCATGTGGTTTTAAATATTTTTCTAGTGGTCAGGATAATTAAAATTCAAGGATAAATACGGCAAATTGGACTCTTATAAAGCGGTATGCAATTTTATACTATGGTAGGAATATTTGCAATGACTAGAAAAACGTAAAAGGGAGTGTTCAGTTGAACCGTAAACTATTTCAAAGAACAAAGACGATTGTAAAAGTCGTCTGATTAATTGACAATTAATTCCATTATGACTGTAGTAAAATCAACATGAAACACGGCAATTATAAATATCATTTCATTTAACTCGTTGATTTTTTAAGCTAGTAGTATATTAAAACAACATTCAGACTTTCTATTCCAAAGTTATTTTTGTCTCACTATACAATTCTTTAATCCTTGTTTTTCTTCCTTAAGAAAAATCTACGTTAAAAGTTCCTCTTCTAAATTTATTTTACAGATCTAATCATTCGAGATAATACAGTGGTACTCATGGAGGATAATACTTTTAGGACGATTTATAAAGTAAAACCAAGGAGTATGGAATACAATGGAGGAGGGGTCGACCAGGCCGCCTCACCATAGGCTAGACAGACGGTACTCCATTTGGAAAAGAGTTTTTATAAATGTCGTCTTTTATTTTTTAAATGTGGTTTTCTACAGGTGTCCCACGAAACATGACATTTAATAAATAGTTATTTTTAGTTTAACAAATCTTTTGCTTAATTATATTTTACTTTGAAATCAATTTTAATATAAAACGACTCCCATATTATATTTTTATGATCTTTGGTATCAAACAACTGAACAAATAATGGAAAAAGACATTCTAAACTATTCACCAACTGTAATGTTTCGTGGAACACCCTGTAGTATACCATAATAAATGAAATAGATTTTTTTATCTTATAAAAATGTCCTCAGTGTTGACTGTTTTTGCATCCCAAAATATTTCGCTGTTTTGCATAATTCAGCCTACTTTACTTGCCGTATAATGTATTCAATGACCTCTATCTGATGTACAGACGCCGCGTACTTGTTTTTAGAATAGGTCATTGTACGTGTAAATTACCGGAGGAAAAGTAGGCTGAAGAACGCAAAATAATTAAAGACATCTTTTGGGAACACTTAGGTAACTTTTTATAATTAAAGGAAATCGCTTTTATTTATTTTGGTATAGTAAAAAAACCACAACTTAAAAATAAAAAGACGACCTTTAAAAACGCTTTTCCAAATGGAGTACCGTCTGTTCAGCATGTATAATTATATGATGAGGTGGACCTGGTCGACCCCTTCTCCATTGTAAATCATGATCCTTGTCTAATACTCTGCAGAGATGCTGATTTTGAAAGATCAATTTCGTCTTGTTATTCAAATTAGCTCATTTAATCGCCTAAATTGTCAGAAAGGTCGTCTTGGATCACTTAAAACAATTTACAATTTACTGACAAAAGATAAATATATATATTTTGTTTATTCTTTTAAAAGTTTTTAAATATAATTATTACACAGCAGGAAAAAGGGTATATGTTAATTATGTTGAAATGCGTTTAGATTGAAAACTTTAAAAATAAATATTACACAGATAAGACCAAAAAATGTTTTGTTTTATGTACAGGGTGTCCAACGAAACATGACAGTTGGTGAATAGTTTAAAATGTCTTCATCCATAATAATAATAGGTTGTTTGATACCAAAGATTTTATTGAAGTCATATTTTAATAAAATTTATTTCAAAGTAAAATCAATCTAAGTAAAAGATTTTGTTATCAAAATAAACTGCAAAAAGTCCTTAATATCCTAAACAGCTGATGGAAGAAGACATTCAAAACTATTTCCCGACTGTCATGTTTCGTGGGACACCGGAGGTAACTTTTTTACACTAAAGTGCAATGACATGTTCCAGAAAATGGGCTGAGTGATACAACTTTGGGTAAATGGGTTGGTTCAGGTAGGAATATGTCAAAGTTAAGTAACTAAAGCATAGCTTTATTGTCGTATCAAAGTAATCTGAGCTGAAAACTTTAGAATCGTGGATATCAAGATTAATGCTTGATCTACTTTTTTCTTGATCTCCATATTAAATAATGCTTGTTCTCCTCTTGTTATTAATCTCCAGATTAATTAACCCGTCGGGATTAAGGATATCCCATTCTAAAGTTTTCAGCTCTGTATTGATAAGATTTGACAAAAATATTTTTTCCTGGTACAGGAAAATACCAACTATTTTTATAATGTTTTTGTTATTACTTTTTCTTCATAGCTTGAAATTGATAAAAGTCTGACTTTTATTTTATTTTAAATCCGCCCTTGACTACTATTCTTCATCTTTAGGCTCTTCAGAAGGTTCTTTAAAAGAATCATCAGCAGATTCTTCAGCTGGTTCTTCGGTAGCACCATCAGCAGGTTCTACAGAAACGTCTTCCTTATTTTCAGGATCTGCATCCGACTGATGATCTTCTTCTTCAGTTTCAGGTTCAGGTTCTCCTTCGGGTTCCTCAGATGGATCAGCATCTGTTTCCATTTTAGAATCTTTTCCTTCTGTGTCATCATCTTGTTCATCATTCTCCTCTGACTGTTCATCATCTGTTGTGTTTGGTTGTGGAAGATCAACTTCCTGCTGTAATTGCTATACATCTTCCAGATCAACCTCGTCCTCAGAGTACTCATCATCATCATCATAATCAACCTCTGCCTCTTGGTATTGAATGTATTCAGATATTAGATCCTGAGTGTTCCCAGCTGCCTCACTACAAAATACGGGATTAAAGGGACTGTAAGCGAAGTTTTAAGTGACCTTCTATGCAAAACTGGCGATGCCGATTCACAACAGTACCCTTGAAACCTTAATCTGATCCAAAACGTTGAAGATAACGTCGTTTTTTCTGACTAGAAGAGTGTTTAATTTTGTGCCTCTCTCCGTATCTCCTTATAAGCAAGAAATGTGCAAGTAATTTTTTCAGAGAAACCGCAAATGAAAATAGACAATTTGAAGATACAAAAACATGAATATCTAATTCATACTTGTTCAGAGCTGAAAACTTTAGAATTGGATACCCTTAATCCTGATCGCTTAATCTGAATATCTTTTAATTTTCTTTTTAATCCGTTCTTGTTGGATATCACATTTCCTACTACATGTAATAAAGATACGTTATAGATTAAAAATACAGATACGATGCTATAACGATAGAACCATAGAAAAAATATACGATTGAACTAAAGTCGGCTGTTCTCAAGCCGGCTTTTAGAGCAATTTAAACAAATATAAGTTTAATCATGTTAATATGAACACATTAAAAAAGAAAACATATTTTATCACATGTAAGGACTAAAGTCCTTTTGAACGTTAGTCTTAATAAACATTAAATCCAAACCGTACGTGCGTTAAATCGATCATTAGTCAAATTGATATGACACCACAAATGTGGTATAAGTAAAAAACGGTTTTTCAAAAGTTAAAGAGCGCATCTCTAATCTCTAGAAATTAATCTAGAGACTAAATTAGTCTCGAGATTAGCAAAAAGAGAGGATTAAGCATTAATCTTGATATCCACCATTCTAAAGTTTTCAGCTCAGAGCTTTTAAGCTTTAAAGGGTCAATTGAAATTATGCTTACAGTCCCTTTAAAAGGATAACAAATTTTTAATAACTTTATGTGAAACTAATCAAAACAATGACAAATCTGTTGAAATTCTAAAACCAGAAATACCAACATTTCGAAAACGACAGATTCCTTTCTCACTTAAAGTTTTACTTTGATCTCAGATTCCTCATAACTACAGTTGTCTCTCAAGGTTAAGGGTTGTTTTTACCAAGAATTATATTTTTGAAAAGTCAAAGAAAGCATAAACAACATAATAAATTCCTTCTAGTTTGGCCGAGTTGGTCTTTTTGGTTCACTTTATTCTGACACCATTATAGATATAAAGAAAGTAAAGAGAAGCTTGTTCTGCGAGCTATAGGGCCAGCCTTAGATTAATATTTGTTTTATTGGATGTGTTAAAAGTGGGGGAGAATTTTTATTTAATACCTAAAATACAAAAAACCTGAAAAAAATAGTTTTTTTTAATTTGAGATGATTTAGACTCTTAGTTACAGCACTTTATCTGTAAACTCCATGTCCACTATTAATCTTACAAAAATCTCTCTCTCTCTATTTTTTTGAGAAAAAAGTAAAAAGTTACCTAAATTCTAGTTCATCCATTCCCTCACTTGTATACCAGTGAAGAAATGCTTTTCTCCGAAACATTGATGTGAACTGAACCAGCATTCGGTTAAACAACGACTTAAAATAAAAAATTTGTTAGCATTAAAAACTTTCAAGGGCATTTCCCTTTCATGCAATGAATCCCAGATATATGAATACATATACCGTCAAGAACTTCTTTTTATTTTTAATTCAAGGTAAATTAATATTAATATCCCTGAAATATGAATACAATTGATATATCAATATTAAACTCATTTTTCCGCGGCATTTAATTTTAAATATGTAATACGGCATTATAAAAAACTCTTCCTATGTATTCATATATCTGGGATTCACTGTATATATAAATGGTGTCATAACGAGGATTAGAAAACGACAAAAAATCATCCTAAATTTGGATTTTACGCTGATTGTTATTCTCTTTTAAGCGTTCGCAGCAAACCCTTTTCAATGTTGTCGTTTTTATGTTAAATTTCACCCATTTTTTTGAAAATCTTTACTGAATGAAATCCGCAAACATCTTCTTATGTTTGTTAATGGACTAAAAATATATCAATCTCTGAGTTGAGAGTCGCTCAAGATTATGTTTGTAACTAATTTTTCACATATTTCTCACAAAATATAACTAAACATTTTGATTAAATAAACGGTAATTTAAAGTGACCTCATATTCTCAGAGTGGGATGTCTTATTTAAAATGATATCCTTCTATAAACCTTTGTCTGAGGAATATTCCGTCGTTTTTCTTAAATGTTAAATTCTAATAATTTCCCTCCAACCTTTTGACTGCAATAAATCTGCAAATTTCCTTTACCCAAAATTGAAAATATTCAATTTATAAATATAAAATTTGGGATGTTTTTTTACATAGTGTTGACCAATAGTTTTTTTAATTTCTTTTTTCAAAAATACTTTGTCTTTTAATTTTACAAATTTAGTAAGATTTGCTTATTAAGTATTTACATATTTTATTGGAAAAATCTGTCCTATAGGACTGATGATGATGTAAAAAACATCGAAATATATTTCCTACTTAGAAGTTGCGAATTCTACTGATAGAGAACACTTTCAATCAATTGGATTTTTACAGTTTTGCTATAGATTTTAAGTTAAAGATTTCATATTACAAACCAGAGTCTAAACTAAAGAATGCGCGAATTTTAAGTTCGAGGTTAAAAGTTCTGTAAAATAATGAATAGCTACTTAAATATTAAACTTTCTCAATTTTAAATTTTAATTTCTCGGGAAAAATCTGAACCAATCAGAGAAAAGGATTTAAAGAATTATTACGTAAGTATCGGTATTCGGTAATCAGCTGTTTTTTAAATTTTAAGTTGAAGATTTCATATTACAAACCTGGATTGCTGTAGAGTTGGCGATGAATGTTCCCGAAATCTTGAGACCCCTGGGAGGTATGTCACAAACAGCAGTTTTGATATTATTCGGAATCCACTCGACAAAATATGACGAGTTTTTATCCTGTATCCCTGACATCTGCACATCTATATCCTTCATTGATAACCGGCCTCGGAATATTGCCGCTACGGTGAGAAACCGTCCCATCCTGGGATCACAGGCCGCCATGATGTTGGACGGAGAGAACATTTGAGAAACTATCTCCGGGACGGATAAACTACGGTACTGAAGAGTACCTCTAGCCTGCAGGGGGGAGAAACCTGAAATTTTAAAGGGAGTGTTCGCGAAAAATGAAAGGGGGTATAGGCTTAATGCGATAAAAAAGCGCTTTTGATCGCTACTTATCTTACTTCTATCTGTTGCGCCTATAAGGAGAAAATTGTTAAAGACGTCTCATACCGAATAACTTAGCGCCCATACAAATTGAGAAAATTGCAACATACAACTTAGACCGTAAAAAATCAATTTAATTTCAAACAAATCATTCAGATATTACAACCTATAGTCATCGATTATCTTTCGCCACATTTGTATATAGTTGATTTTTCATGGAGAAATTGACATAAAACTGATTCAAAATTATACCAAAAAGGACATATTTTGTATAAAAGTTGTAGCATTAAACAGATCATATTCAACAATTACATAAGATAGATGTCTTATAAGTATCGTTCAAAACCTGAGATTCTCAGGTTTTATCCTATACCCCTTTTCATTTTTCCTTTACAGTCCCTTTAAAGATATCTACCTGAGAAAAAATTAATCATGATTTTACAACAAAATGAAGAAAAAAAAATCTAAAAAATCTATGAATGAATGGTTAGATAAAAGTGATTCATCAAAAATTTACCATACTATTCAATTATTTACTTTGCTACGCAATGGATCCGAAAATAAATTTTTTCTTTTAAATTTTATTCATAGATAAATAAGTCCACATTACAAATAAACTGCATTCTATGCATATTTTTAATGTTAAAAATAGCAGCAAGTTTTACAGAAATTAAAACTTCAAATGGCATTAAAAGTCTGATCACAAATATAAGTGAAATACGTCATTTTCCGTTTGCTGAACAAGTTCGGTATACGTATATTGTAATCTAGGAATAGGAACCATGTATACCTGGTATAAAGAAATGTAGTCTATGAATAGGAAACATGTATACCTGGTATAAAGAAATGTAGTCAGTCTAGGAAAAGGAACCATATATTTATACCTGGTATTAAGAAATGTAATCTAGGAAAAGGAACCATGTATACCTGGTATAAAGAAATGTAGTCTAGGAAAAGGAACCATATATTTATACCTGGTATTAAGAAATGTAGTCCAGGAAAAGGAACCATATATTTATACCTGGTATTAAGAAATGTAGTCTAGGAATAGGAACCATGTATACCTGGTATAAAGAAATGTAGTCTAGGAAAAGGAACCATGTATACATGGTATAAAGAAATGTAGTCTAGGAATAGGAAACATGTATACCTGGTATAAAGAAATGTAGTCATGGAAAATGAACCATGTATACCTGGTATAAAGAAATGTAGTCTAGGAAAGGAACCATGTATACCTGGTATAAAGAAATGTAATCTAGGAAAAGGAACCATGTATACCTGGTATGAAGAAATGTAGTCTAGGAAAAGGAACCATGTATACCTGGTATAAAGAAATGTAGTCTAGGAATAGGAACCATGTATACCTGGTATAAAGAAATGTAGTCTAGGAAAAGGAACCATGTTTACAGCAAGCTTCCTGAGGTCTGCGTTTAGCTGTCCCGGAAACCTGAGACAGGTTGTAACTCCGGACATAGTTAGAGAGATGAGATGGTTCAGATCACCGTAGGTCGGAGTATTCAGCTTCAAGGTTCGGAAACATATATCATACAAAGCTTCATTGTCGATAATATATGTTTCGTCGGTATTCTCAACCAGCTGGTTTAAAGAGAGTATAGCATTGTAGGGTTCAACAACAGTATCAGATACTTTAGGAGAAGGTATGACGGAGTGTGTATTCATTATCTTATCAGGATACTCTTCCCGGATCCTGCCGATCAGAAGAGAACCTAACCCTGAACCCGTCCCTCCTCCGAGTGCATGAACAAGTTGAAAACCTTGAGGAGATTCTGCGTGCTCCGCCTCCTTCCTTGTAGCATCCATAACCTGCTCTATGAGCTCCGCCCCCTCTGTGTAATATCCTTTAGCCCAGTTGTTCCCCGCCCCTGAGGATCCAAATACAAAATTATCTGGGCGGAACATTTTCCCCTGTTTTCCAGCTTTAATTGTATCCATGGTTCCAGGTTCCAGGTCACATAGAATAGCTCTGGGCACCCACTTCGAGTTGGATGCTTGAAGGAAGGCATCAGAGAGATGTTGAGGTCTGAGCTCTGAACCTGACCAGTAAACCTCTAATCTCTCCGCCTGAAGACTGGATTCTCCCTCAAACCTTCCATCTCCTGATATCCCGTGCTCATCCGATATAATTTCCCAAAACTTAGTTCCTGCCTGATTTCCGCATTGTCCAAGCTGGAGATGAACAATTTCTCTCATCCTTACTCCGGGTCTCTTTATGTACAGTGGAGAACTGTAGTCCTGGATCTCCTAAATTATGTATTCTCAAGGTCTACCTCCTCTACAGGCATACAACATCAATACTTAAATATCAATTATTAAACCAACAGGAGAGCTTTCCAGCATACGTAATAAATTCCATATACAAATAATGGAGGCAAAATTAGCCAGGAGATAAATGTTTTAAAATTAGTGGTTATTCTTTATGCACAAATTTTATAATGAACGTAATTGTTTTCTCAAGGTTTTGAAAAGAAAGAATAAAGCCTTCTTAATGAAACGATTACAATCAAATTCATTCCGTTTTAAACCCATTTTTTCTGTAAATCGAACATTCCTAGTTTATTCTACTTTTCATTAAAATAAAATAATTTCTTACTTAACGTCGTTATACTTTATACAAAATCAATAACTGGAATGTGTTTACAAGAAAATGTTTATATATATATATATACAAGCTTGAGGTTAAACCACTCGCAAATTTTTGTAATGCAAGAAAAATTAACGAATAATTTATGATTCGATTGTGAAAATGTTGCATTAATCTATTGAAGTATATAATATTCAAGTGGTTCAAATTGTGTAAAATCTAAATCTAGTAATTTTTCTGTTTATCTTAAGGAAGGTCGTCTTCGAAAATGAATTCAATTGTTTGAACGTGAACGGAAGTATAGTAGAACATTAGTTAATATTTTTACTTCTAATAGAATCAGAGCTGAAAACTTTAGAATGTGATATCCTTAATCCCGATCCGTTAATTAATCTGGAGATTAAATTCATGAGGAGAACAAGCAATATTTTATCTGGAGATTAAGAAAAAGGGTGGATCAAGCATTAATCCCGATATCCACCATTTTAAAGTTCCAAGCTCAGATCTAATTAAAAATAACTCAGAGACGGAAATTCATTATAAGAACAGATAGAAAGGAATTGAATCTTAGCCACAAACTCAAATCCCTTTATCTTTGCAACCTAATGTAAACCTTTAATATCAAACTTAGATTATTTGATCTAACAGAATTCAAATTTTGGATTGTGTTGCTAAGATATAGGGATAAGAAAACCAGAGTTTGTGGCAAAGATTCAATTCCTTTGATAAGATTGTATTTCTACAGAGCCAAAGAAACGAAACTGTCATCCATTTCGGGCTCTGATACCCAATGGAGAACAAATTCGTATTCTTCATATCTTTATGATAAGATGATATAAGTTTTGACAGCTTTCCTGAGGACAAATTTCTTGATATGTCAGTCGAAAAGATGGATCACACTTTGGAAATCCCATTATTTTGGGAATATTGTATTGGGTTTTAAGAACTACTAAACTTTACTACTCCAATTATTGAACAAGTTTCCTTGCTCGTCCTCCTCTTCGTCTTGTCCTTTACAATACCTTACTCCTTCTACTTCTCCTCTTCATCTTGTCCTTTTCAGTAACTTACTCCTACTACTCCTCCTCTCCTCTTCGTCGTGTCCTTTAAAATACCTTACTCCTTCTACTCCTTCTCTCCTCTTCATCTTGTCCTTTTCAATACCCTACTCCTTCTATTCCTCCTCTCCTCTTTGTCTTGTCCTTTACAATACCGTACTCCTTCTATTCCTCCTCTCCTCTTCGTCTTGTCCTTAACAAAACCTTACTACGTCTACTCCTCCTCTCCTCTTCGTCTGAATCCTATTCTTTACCCTTCTCCTCCTCTTTATCTTCTATTTTTAATCATACTCTTTCTCCTCCTCCTCTAATACTCTCTTCACTCCTCTTTTTCCTGCTCCTCTTACTCTTATCCTTCTGTCTACATTACTCCTCCTACGTACTCTCCACCTTACTCCTCCTCCTCCTCCTCTATTACTCTCTACCCTCTATAGAGGCCTCATATCCTACTCCTCCTTCTCCTATCCTACTCTCTACCCTACTTCTATATCTCCTACCCTCCTATCTCCAGAGTACCCTGGAGACCATGTACCGACTTGAACCAACTGTATTTAACGGATCATCAGTTCAATCCTGTTTAGGAATATTTATCTCAACCAATCCCTCTAAACCCGTCAAAACAACTCAATTCAAATCCCAGGACAGTTTTACTTTAACTTAAACATTTAAATTTACATTTCGACAAAAATGCATATTTAGTTAACCTACAGAGTTATCCACACAGGATGAGACTTTATTGAAAACCCAAAACTGTCTAAATATAACGATCTAAAGGTTAAATCTTTAGTTTTGCCATAAATAAAGTCGTGGTCTTCTAATTGATTTAACTAAGTAAAAAGCTAGTTTTTTTAGGAAAAGAACTAGATAAATTCCGTACAGTCGTCTCTAAAAATTCAAAAAAAATCTGGGTCCAAATTAACAAAAATGAGTTTAATTAAACTTAAATATTCTCCACGTTCTATTAAACTAATTTTGAAAAATTTTGTTTTAAATACTAAAGTTTTTTTTACACAAAACAACTATTTCATAAGTACATAAATCAAGGTTAAGTTAGGTTTCGAACCTTTTGTTATTTACTAAATTTATTATTTTTTCATGCTGCCAAAACTAGATTTTATCAGACCGGTTTTTAACAATTCATATTAAAATATTCGCTCTTTCGTTTAATAAAATATTGGAAAATCAAAACAATTTTTATTTGTTAAATAAAATCAGATATTTGATAAAGATTATGATTACTACTAGAAGTCTCAGCCCTGAAATTTGTTTTTTAAAGTTCACAATATTTATACCGGATAATGTTTTAGATCATTTGGTGTCAATCAGGTCTATGTTGTAATGTTAGAATTGTTCTCCCGAAAGTAAGTCAGCTTCATTCGTCCCAGCAAGAAAATTTGCAGAATGGTTTCAAACTTGATCCATCAGAGTCTGTTTTAGGCCCTTTAAGAGCGATCAAAAGAAAAGAAAGATTGAGTATTTAATGTAGGAAGGACTTCTATGAAGTTTTCTGGTTTTGATTCACGTTTGAGATCCGGTTGGTCCTATGTCAGAGACGTTGGGACAAAGGAATTGAGTCTTTGCCACAAACTCTGGTTTTCTAATCTTTATATCTTTGCAACCTGATGCTGTAACCCTTTGATATTTTAAACTTAGATTATGTGATCCAACATAATTCACAGTTTGAAAAATCTAAGGTCTACAACATCGGGTTGAAAAGATATAATAATTATAAAATCAGAGTTTGTGGCAAAGACTCAATTCCTTTACCCCAGATCTTGGTCATTTTTTAATCTTGCTTTACCACCTTGTTTACAATGTAAAAGCTTATATTAGGCTGTCTGAAAAACATACTTTCTGAACCCTTACTAATATGGTTTAAACAATTTGCAACATTTTTGACCATTTTTGGGGTCATGGATATATAATAGAATGTAATATATTAAAGACAAGGTTTGATGTAATTTTATGGCTGGGGTGTATGCAGTACGTTAGACATTGGACTCTGGACTTACAATTTGTCTTTGGTTTTCGTATAGTTAATAGTTGTCAAAGGAGTAGAGAAAAACATTAAAAGTCTTAAATATTTTGTAAAAATTAGCCTCTTTCTTTGTTTTATAAAAATTGTCGTAGATACTAAAATTTGAACAACCTTGTTAATATTTTATATTTTGAATTTGAGACAAATAATATCTCAGTCAATTCTTAAGGTATAAAAACATTTTTGAAATCATAAAACAAGACCCATTTGATGCTATCCAATTCTTTGGAGGCAAAGTTATGTTTGCAAGATTTTAGCTATAGTTACTCCAGGGCACACGATCTACCAACGTTCATATCTTATGTGGACCCTGAACTTCACTTAAAAGTTTTTTTAAAAGAACAAATTATTTTTATAAAATGAACGATAGCCAGAATGAAAATTTGTTAGAGTTAAACCTTAATTATCACTATGCAGAGATTAGAAAATTTTTCCAAAAAATCTAGGGTCCACTCAGCTATAACAGCTGTGAAGCACACCCACAAAATTACATATACGCTGGCCCATAATAGTGTAGATCGATAAGTAGAATCACATGTCTTGATGGTCTTTTCCGCTGGACATGTCATAATTCTTCAAATATTTAGTTTTTCCTTCTGAACCCCATTAAACCACAATTAACGTTCATTTTTGGATCATGTTTCAGGGTTCTGCTTGGTTTTTGAATCGTCTAATAAAAACGTTAGAAAAAAGTATAATATTTTTAATCAACTTGAGAACTATCTGTTCTACTGAGTTCATATTTCTGTAAAGAAAGAATCGAGAAAGAATAATTTAAGTCTAGAATAAATTCCCCAAAAATATTACCTAATTTATTTCCAATATTTACTCTGTATATTCACAGTGTAGAACTGTAATCTAATTACACATGAAAATCCTTATTGAACATATTTCAAAATATTCCTTAATTCCCCTTCCCTTTCCTCCTTCATCCCCCCAACTGTATTTCTCTCTCCAACCCTTCCACTATACCTCCCCCATCCTACTACAGTCGTAGGCGATTACATCATTACAATGAAGACGACCTTTTTATTTAAGTTTTGATTGTTAACAAGCTTTTTTGAATTACAAGTTTACAAGTAATCAAAGAGAAGCTTTTTTAATTGACAGCTTCTCTTGACTTCTATGATTATGTGTATCTATGCTGTTTAACAGCTTGATATAGATAAAAATTTAAATCGAAAATCGTCTTCTTTGTCAGCTATCTTTCCCCTCCTTTCCAACCGTTCAACTATCCACATGTGTGCACTGTGCACACAGATATAATCACATTGCAAAAACGCAAAAAGTTAACGTTTTATAAGTCTTCTTAAAATGCAAAATGGAAAAAAACATATCTATGCGCAACAAAACGATATGTTGGTAATTATTTCAGAAATCATTTATACAGGGTGTCCCACTAAACATGACAGATGGTGAGTAGCTTAAAATGTCTTCTTCCAAAATTTAATAATTTGTTTGATACTAAAGGAACAAATAACATTTTTTATTTGACAGTTATATTATAGTAAAATTGATTTCACAGTAAAATATGCATAAGTTGAACATTTGTTTAAAGAAATAAACTGAAAAAAGTCTTTAATATCTAAAACAGAATGTGGAAGAAGACATTCAAAACTATTTACCAACTGTCATGTTTCGTGGGACACCCTGTACAAGTTATTCAGTTATTTGCGCCCCAATAAAACCAGGGTTTATTAGATTCTAGTCAATATTTTCTAAAACTTTAACAAATGTTTTTTATAGAAAGCGTGGGTAAGATTGTTGGCTATGAATTAGAAACCTTCCTTAAAGGAACTGTTTTAAGTCAAAATTAAAGGGGGTATGAACTAAAGCTTAGAAGTTCTTGAAATGGATCGCGACTAATAATAATTCTAGTCTTTAGCCAAAAACCCCCTTTCCTTTTCCTTAACAGTCCCTTTAAACATAATTACTCCTCAGAAAAAAATCTTGTTTTCAATTCTAAAATTTTCCGGTTCCCTGGAGCAGTCCAGACTCCATAGTTCCTCTAGTAGATGATTCCAGTCTTCTAAACCCAACAGATTTCAGCAAATATTGAGATCTACAGGGTGTCCCAATATATTATCCGTATAGATCTACAGGGTGTCCCAATATATTATCCGTATAGATCTACAGGGTGTCCCAATATGTTATCCGTATAAATCTACAGGGTGTCCCAATATGTTATCCGTATAGATCTTTCGTCTCCTAGAGTTAAGATTTTTATGTGTTTTGATTTTGTACTAATAAAATGAGAAAATACTGAATACGTACAGACAAAGTACGTTTGTTCTTCTTAACTGTTTATCTTGCAGAATTTACAAAGACATCTATTACAATGACTAACAAAACTGCCTTTACTTTACTTAAATATGACAATTTGAGTAGGTAATACTTGATAGAAATAATATTTTGTATTCCCATGTTTATTGGGACACCATGTAGAGGATGTTATGTACAAGGAGCCATAATAAACATCAGAATTGACTGACGACTTTAGACTCAATTTATAATAGTATACTTTTAAAAAACTTGGCCGACCTGGGATTTATGAAATGTGGTTTTTCTTTTTTTAAAACTGAGATATTGAGAAATTTTCATTTAAGATTCTTTAAATGTCTCATATGTATCTCAATTGCAAGAAACAAACTCGGAGATTGACTCTTAGTTCCTATGTTTATTGGAACCCCCTGTATACAATATATATATACTGATGAAGTGGTGTAATCTTCTTTCAACCCCGCTAATCCTACACAAACTTAACTATATCCTTTAAGTCACATTATTCGGGGGATTTCAAATTGGACATCAATGAATGGACACTTCAAATTTGACATCAATGTATGGACACTTCAAATTATAAGTTTGCAGATTTCATCATCCCTAAACATGGTTAACAAACCGGTTCTGGTTAAAGCAGGTTGGCAAAGAATTGACTTATTGTAATCTAACTTTTATGGTATAACGTTAAAAGAGCTTTTGTTTTTGTTTTCTCCTGGTTTGCTAGTTTGAAAGAAACAGCTACGAAGTTTAAATCATATTGAATCAGTTGTGACGTGATCCAATCTGTGTATATTACCGAAAAATCTTGCTCAACGAGAGAATTTGGCAAATATTTTAACAATATATATATACACTTCACTTTAGAGGATTAGTGGATATACAGTACTTCAGGTTTATTGTAAAATTAATATTTAGTCAATAATACAAAATACGGATATGTGATACAGGGTGAAGGGAAAGAAAAGATGGATCAAGGATTGCATAAAGTTAGAACGAAGCAGATAGAAATATCAAATGATTATGTACAAAATGTAAGGAGATATCCCTATAATGATTTTTTAATTAATCCTATTTTCCAGACGATAAAAGACTTTTAGCCGATTTGTAAGGTTAAGAGATCAACTGTTACGCACGTTAAAAATACTATTTTTAGAAATAAATAAATATGAAAAAACGAGAAGCTTTGCTAAGAAGCCTATTCAGATAATTGACATAGTTTTAAAATCGGAGAATTGTTGTTTCTAAAAACTTAAATTCATTAGTTTCCTTCTAAATATCTTGAATAATGTTTCACTGAAAACATAGATTTATTCTTAAAATCGATAAATATATAATTAATAAATTAAAATCATAAAACATGTTGTGCATGATCATAATGGAGACATAAAGGATACTTCCCTTTAAAGAAGGTTGTATATGATACTGTGGACTAGAGGGGGATGGCGAGGGAGGGAAGGATATTTCCATCTACAGAAGGTTGCATATGAGGAAGTTTTAAGAGATGAGGATGGCGAGGGAGGGAAGGATAGTTTCCTCTACAGAAGGTTGTAAATGAGGATGATGGACGGGATGAGGATGGAGAGGGAGGGAAGGATAGTTTCCTCTACAGAAGGTTGTAAATGAGGATGATGGAAGGGATGAGGATGGAGAGAGAGGGAAGGATATTTCTAGAAGAGTTGCAGAGATCTCCTTTACAGAAGCACATATAGACCTCAGTAGCTCTCACTTTTACATACGCACACCTTAAAATAAACTGTATACAGTCACACTCAATATACAGGATAAGCTGTTAAAACTTTAGAATTGTGGACATCGAGATTAATGCATGATCTCCTCTTTTTGTTAATCTGAGTAGCGTATGAAGAATCCCGAACAGCCAATCAGAAACCGGAAAATTTAAGATTTTGCGCGCCATTTAATAAGATAACTTTTATTGGTCGGAATCCAGAAAGGATATTCAATCAGAGGGGAGAAGAGTTGCTTAAGCAGAAATCCAATGCACAGTGGATATTATTAAAATTAAGCGGGTCGGTATTAAGGGTATCTAACTCTGAACTTTTCAGCTCTGGTAATATTCTTTTTATATAAAAATTCATATCTACTGAAAGGAACTTTAAACGTAATATTTCAAGTGACCATTCATTTAAACGTTATCTGAGTAATGATAACGAAGATATCGTCGTTTTTTAATCTCAAGGACTCATTTCTGACTTCTTCCTAACTTATTTCTGAAGCATACATCTGCAGTCACTTTTATTACAGAAATCATAAATTGAAAATGAGGTATCTAAAAAAATGATAATAAGTACTTCATCATTGGATAAAGATTTAAACAAACTGAATTTTATGAATTCCCTTTTTAAATGTGGGGTCCCTTAAAATTCCATCTACAGTCCCTTTAAACAGACTTGATAGGATAATAAAGGTACAAAAAACTAGGACACATAAATGACGTCACAGCTCCTGATGCTATAAGCAATGTTGACAAATGTAAACAAAAAACAAATACAAATTAAAGCATGTTAAAATGAAATTCTTGGCTTTGTTCTTTCGAGATTTTAAATTAAAATAAGAGTTTAAATTATGTATGTTAATGGTTCGAACAATAAATTAAAATAATAGTTTTAAATAAAAAATTGAGATTTTGGCGATCGAAAACCATTAACATCCGTCTTTAAGTTTTAGCATATCTTGGTGATATGATCAGAAATACAAAATAACAGTTTTTAAAATCTTCAAACAGGTAAAATCTTCAAACAGGTAAAATCTTCAAACAGGTAAAATCTTAAATTTGACGTGTCTGTTTGACATGATCCAGGGGAAGGTTTAAATGGACCGTATAAATTGAAATATTTTGTCCGGAAAAAAAGGTAACACATCCATTTTTTTAAAAATACACCAATATGAATTTTAAAAAATCCCCGAAAATGACAACTAAACATAGCTAAAATTGTAAATAGAAAAGGGGGCGCGAAGCGCCCTGAAGCCTCATTCAGAAGAGGATTCCATAATTAATCTAAGCGAGCTTTTACGAGTAAATATAAAANCGGCCCTACCACACAGAATCAAGATTTAACGAAAATGAATGATCTGGAATAATTAATTCAAATTAATACTGGCTTACACGAGATCTGTTTGAGTTTATACAGAGAAAAAAATTCAAAATATTATTTTCTGAAACCCATATCTTTTTGAAACCTCATGTAGTTGTATATGTCTCTATATTTTAAACTTATTAGTTTTGCTAGATCATATAGCAAATGTTGACAAAATTCTGGAGTTTACACCTTCAAGTTAATATATAGTGCTTAAAACAAAAATTTTTTTAGCAAGTAATCCGTTCTTTAATCCTAACACCCCCCCCCCCCTCTCCTTTGTTCTGGTAACATTGTATGTCATAAACATCTTTCTTTTTAAGTACATTCGGATCGGATATTCTCATATAAATGAAGGTGTTTGGATAATAGATGTATTGTTTACCGTTCTTTTCCATCACTTGGACCTCTCTGCATACAAGCTCGTTCTGTCGCAATTCCGAAATCATCTCCATCATTTTTATCCAACCCGTCCAAAGTTTTTTGACACCAACCTGAAAAAAACTTATATAATTATAAAGGACTAACAACAAAAAAAAAATTATGTATATGTATATTTTATGTACGTGAGGAGCAGGGGAAGCAGAGTGAGCAGGGGAGCTCTTGAACCTGAGGAGTAGGGGAGTTCATGTACCTGAGGAGCAGGGTAGATCATGTACCTGAAGAGCAGGGAAGCTCATGTTCCTAAAGAGCAGGGGAGCTCATGTACCCGAGGAGCAGGGGAGCTCATGTACCTGAGGAGCATGGGAGCTCATGTACCTAAGGAGTAGGGGAGATCATGTACCTGAAGAGCAGGGGAATTCATGTACCTGAGGAGCAGGGGAGATCATGTACCTGAGGAGCATGGGAGCTCATGTACCTGAGGAGTAGGGGAGATCATGTACCTGAAGAGTAGGAGAGCTCATGTTCCTAGGAGTAGGGGAGATCATGTACCTGAGGAGCAGGGGAGTTCATGTACCTGAGGAGCAGGGTAGCTCATGTACCTGAGGAGCAGGAGAGATCTAGTACCTGAGGAGCAGCTCATGTACCTGAGGAGCAGGGGAGATCATGTACCTGAGGAGCAGGAGAGATCATGTACCTGATGAGCAAGGGATCTCATGTACTGCTGCTGTATGAGAAGGAAGAGGAAGACCAGGTATTCTAGGTTCTGGGGGTGTGAAAGGATCTTTACAGTCTCCTTGTTGTCCTCTGGATCTGCAAGTATAGCATCTACGCAGACTGGATTGTGTATAGACTAGGAGAGGAAATATCAGTAAAATCAGGCTCCGTAGACCAACCATATTCTGAAATATAAAATCTACATTACAAAACATAATATTTTGTGAAATGAATGAATTATAAAATTTTTTTATAATTATGACGATTGAGTATTCACTACTTTGGAATCAACTGCAATGAAGAAATTCTGAATGAGTAATCAGTGCAACAAAAATTCTGGATGAGTATAATCAGTACAACGTAAATTCTGGATGAGGAACCAGTACAACGTAGATTCTGGATGAAGTAATCAGTACAACGGAAATGCTGGATGAGTAACCAGTACAACGTAGATTCTAGATGAGTAATTAGTACAACGGAAATTCTGGATGAGTAATCAGTACAACAGAAATGCTAAATGAGTAATCAGTACAACGTAGATTCGGAATGAATTAATACAACAGAAATAACGGATGGGTTATCAGTAAATCGGTTCCGTTTCAGTAATTTTATTGCCACAGAAATTCTGGATGAGGATTAAGTACTATGATCATTCCGAATGATCGAGTGATTAATAAAACGGAAATTCTGACTGGGTAAAAACACTCAGAAACCCAGAGTACGGATGCATCAGATATGTAAAAAAGTTAAGCACAAAACAGATAGAGTAAATTTTAACAAAATGTTACCTGTTCTATATTGTTAATGCAGTTTTAGAATTTTTTCTCACTTTTCGTTCATTGTTCCTGCACTTTTATACTCTGAAAAGTATATAATGACACTAAAAATTGAAATTAGGGTTACAAGAACACAAGCAGAAGTTTATATTTAGATATTTAGGATAACTAAACCACATTGAATGACTGAAACCAACCTTTCTATTTCTTAGAAACTAAATCATATGACAGAATGACGCAATTTAAGTGCATTTTCAAAACCTGTTTTTTCAAGAATGTTACGATACCAACAATATTTGTTATATATTAAAACTTCACCCTCCTTTTACCATTATATCTAATATTGGTATCTACCTAACTTTTCGTTCACCCGTATATTGTATTTTATACACTCGTCGTCCTGACGTTGAAATCTCCGACTGAAGAATGTAGAATGTGGAGTGTACTGTGTCAAAACCAGTTTCCATTCTATCTAGGGTTAATATTCTCTATATTAACATGGGGTTTATATAATTCAAGATATTATAATTTTAATGTCAAACTATAGTTCTCTTGTATGTAAATGCTGGAAATGGGAGGAATGGTTAGAAAGATTTTCACGGACAAATAGAAATCTGTGATTGGTCCAAGAGGTTTATGTCGGTTTATTAAATACAGAGCGTCCCATATCATATTAGATTATCTCTAATCTTTAACGACAAAATAAACCCTTAATACTCGAAGAACTTATCATTTTCTGCAAGAAAATTCTTATATAAGCCTTATGTTATTTTTCAACTTGATTTATTCGAATTAAATTTTCTTATTAGTCCCGAAAATCGCAATTTAGACCCGTTGACGGTCTAATATGATGTGGGACACCCTGTATATTGAGCTGAGAGGGAAAGTGTTGAAATTCCATACTGCAGAGATCAGACAAGGTTAGTTGATAAACATGGAACTGTCTGATGATTAAGAACTAATCACACAAACATTTTTTTGTTTCGAATTTCCTATCTAATTTTTAAGACGTTAGGCTTTACACTCTTTCCAACTAATACGTGAGTCTAACAACTTGTCACGAGATCTATAGATTTCTTAATAAACATACATATACTTCAATTCTGATTCCTATATTTGTATAATTGGAAATCAATCTAGATCTGAAATATATTAATTTTAGGTTTAACTTTATAAATAGTTGTGTTCCCCTTAATCCGGTCTCCGCAGTTTAGAATTTATTAATTCAAGTATAAATATCAATCTAAACTTGTGTTTGATCTAGAAGTATCCTTCATAGTTCGGATTGGTTTTATCCTATATTAATAGTTTGGATTAAAGAGCGGGGAAAGATTGGAGGAAGAGGAGGGAGAAATGAAGAGGTGGGAGAAATGAAGAGGTGGGAGAAATGAAGAGGTGGGAGAAATGAAGAGGAGGGAGAAATGAAGAGGAGGGAAAAATGAAGAGGTGGGAGAAATGAAGAGGTGGGAGAAATGAAAAGGTGGGAGAAATGAAGAGGAGGGAGAAATGATGAGGTGGGAGAGATGAAGAAGTGGGAGAAATAAAGAGGTGGGAGAAATGAAGAGGTGGGAGAGATGAAGAGGTGGGAGAAATGAAGAGGAGGGATAAATTAAGGGGAGAAATGACGAGAAGAGAAAACGATGGAGAGGAGGGAGAGAGGGATGAGAGGGAGACAAAGTAAGGGAGGAGGGAGAGAGGGAGGAGAGGGAGACAAAGTGAGGGAGGAGGGAGATGGTGGGAATGAAAGGAGAGAGAGACAAAGCAAGGGAGGAGGGAGATGGTGGGAATGAAAGGAGAGTGAGTAGGAGAGGAAAAATAAATGAAGCTAGGGATAGGATCAGTACACTTAAGTGTAATTGTATGATAAAAAGAGATATATGAATGTAGAAAAATTAAACATCTGCTAAATCTTTCTGAAAATCTATGAATGAGACTAAGAGAGGCTAAGATGTAATCTGGACTTGTTTAAATATTAGATCAAAGATTGCATAGATAGTTGAAGTATTCATATAAGATTTATAAGATAAGACAATAGTAATATTTTGGCCTGTCTATACAATCAGTGGTCTTTAATCTTTCGTACAATTTAGTAATCAGTGGTCTGTAATCATTTGTCCTATCTATTTTATGATTGGTCTGTAATATCTTGTCCTATCTTTGTTATAAGTGGTCTTTAATCTATTGTCCTATGTATGTAATAACCGTCTGTTATCTCTTGTCCTATCTAAGTAATCAGCGGTCTGTAGTCTCTTGTCCCTTTTGTGCAATCAATATTCTGAAATCTATTGTCCTATCTATGCAATCATTGGTGTGTTATATCTTGTTCTATCTTTGAAATCAGAAATTTGTTATCTCTTGTCCTATCTATGGAAGTAGTGGTCTGTAATCGCTTGTTCTATCTATGTAACAGTGTTCTGTAATTGCTTGTTCTATCTATGTAACAGTGGTCTGTAATCTCTTTTTCTATCTAAAGGGTGAACCTAAAAGAACCACACAAAACGGATTTTTTGGATTATTACTAAGAAAAACCATATAATAATGGATGAAAATCCGCAAAACTATTATTTGGGACCAGTTGATAGTGAATCTACCAAGAAAAAATGGATAAAAAGCTTAAATCCATCTTGAAATCACAGATAGAGACCTATCTCCAGAAAAAGCAACATGCCAGTGATGGTGAAATAATGAAGTGACTGTATATTGGTGCAGTTCCCGGTCCTGACACTGTCAATGCAATCAAAAAAGAAAGCCTGATAAGCTTTGTTGTCTACCAGAAGAAGAAGTTTGCAATGTATGGGTTCTGTGCTGATCACCTAAAGGGGAATAGACGACCCTCTGTTCCAGGAAGAAAGATTGCCCAGGTGAAGAGACTGATGAACAATTAGGAACGCAGGAGCACTTGGTCTGTTTCTAAAAGAGTTGGAGTCTCTCAAACATCAGTTGTAAGAATCATGAAAAAATATGGATATAAGGCATACCACAAGTATAAGGTACAGAAAATGTCAGATGAGCACAAGGAGAGACGTGTGGAGTGTGCAAGGATGTTCCTTAGTGTTTATGGGAGAAGAGTGAGGAATGACAGAAAGTGGGGAAAGATCATCAATACTGATTTCAGTGTCAAAATCACTACTTATGGCCAATAGAAAATGTTTGGAGTATTCTTAAGGGAAAGGTTGCTGAAAAAGAATGCTCTAATGACCAACAGCTGAAGAAAGCCATCATTGCAGCATGGAGAGAGATTGACGATGATAAGGCTCTATGTAGACATTTAATGGCATCTCTGCCCCACCGACTACAAGCTGTTATAGACAAAGAAGGCCGTCAAATCCAGAAGGGAGACTACTAAAAGTTTCAAAATACTCAAATATATATGTAACCACTAAAATATATCCAATAAAACTGTTTGAATCATAATGCATTAAACAATTAGAGAAGAATTTGTATTATGTGTGGTTTTTTTAGGTTCACCCTTTATGTAATCAGTGTTCTAGAAACTAAGTAATCTTGTATTTGCTGACTAGACACTATTTCTACAGGGTTTGCAAACTTGGTTTCCAAACCTATGGGAGTATAGGAGAATAATTAAGAGTATTAGAAACAGTTCAAGGTTTGTTGGTTTTAGAAACTAATTTTTGAATTTTGTTTTTTAAACAAATAAGTTGTGAGTATTCCAGTGCAAATTACAATACAGGGTTTCCTACAAAGGATGAGACTGGAAAGACGACGTAAAACTATTCAAATATGACGATTTCAACCATTAATTTAAGGAAACAGATATTATTACTTATGTACAGTCGTCTCTGAAGTCTCATCGTTTGTTGCTAACCGGTATCTTATTTCAATCTCAGTTGAATGGACTGTAGACTTAGTTCTATTTATAGACTTGTATTAAAGACTTGCATTATAGACTTGCATTATAGACTTGCATTATAGACTTGCATTTCCGATTAACAACGGTATTTTAAACCGTCGTCGGATCATGGACGGGGAAGAAATTCATCTGCATGAAAGACGGTACATATATTGCCCGTTATAGAATTCTATCCTTTAGAATATATTTTTGTAAATAGCGGTTTAAAAAATTCTATTGAAAATGTTTTATTTTTCAGTGAAACCCGAAAAACATTATAAAATATGCAACAAAAATAGTTTTCCACAATTAGATGCGTTTCTTTAATAAAATTCATAAGCAATTCTGTCTCCTTGACAAAAGTTGTGAATCGGTCATGCCATGTCTCTACAAAGGTAAAGTAACTTGAAATGACGTCTTGAGCCCCTTTAGATTAAATCATTTTGGGGCTGGGGAGCAGAAGTAGAACGAGGAGCTGGGGAGCAGAAGTAGGACGAGGGGCTGGGGAGTAGAAGTAGGAGGAGGGGCTGGGGAGCAGAAGTAGGACAAGGAGCTGGGGAGCAGAAGTAGGACGAGGGGCTTGGGAGCAGAATTATAGGACGAAGGGCTGGGCAGCAAAAGTAGGACGAAGGGCTGGGGAGCAGAAGTAGGACGAGGGGTTGGGGAGCAAAAGTAGGACGATCCTGAAAGTCTGATTTGTTTCGATACGTAACAGCTTGTTAGCTTGAAGGTAAGGAACTGTAAGCGTAACTTCAAGTTTCTATCAGTTACTACATTTAAAACAATTATTCCCTCATCCTGAGATATCCGGTATCTACTTTAGTATGTCTTTCTCGAAATTTGAATGTTATAATGTAGATCTTTATATAATTACATGTATCATATTTGTATACGTGTCTGATGAGGGCATTGAGGGCATCGAGGATGTGAGTGCAGAGTGAGTGACTTAATGACTGAGAGTGGGAGTGAAGAGGTGAGTGAGTGAGAGGGCGATGGAGTGAGTGAGTGAGAATGTAAGTGTGCAAGTGAGTGTGAGTTTGTAAGGGTATTGTGTGTGTGTGCCGAAGTGTGAAATGAGTATGTTTCCAGTGCACTAATCTGCTCCCTTGAGATATCCATACACTCACTAAACCTTACTCTTTATACAAACTTAGTTTATTCTTTCTCTAGATATATATATACCAGCTGACCTCAGGTCGCTTAATCTTAATCTAATGTGAGCAGTTTTAAGTTTGAGGAAAAATGGTGGATCCCTTAATTAAAGATATCATTGCAGGGTATGACAAACACTGGGAATATCGAAGAGGAATAAATCTAATCTAGATCTGCATAAGAACGAGGTCAATGCACAGAACAGCGATCTACGAGGCATATATATCGAAGTAAATATTTTTCGCCAGATCCCTGCTTTTGTTTTTACCGTAATACAAACCGATATTTTTTGTAGCTGTGTATATAGTGTAATTACTATATAAAGTTATTGACGGGTAAATCATTATAATTTTAGTTTCAGTTACATTTAAAGAAATACAAGAAAACAAAAATTAGATTTTTGAACTAAGAAAGTAATGTTTAAACGATATACCGTTTCTGAAAAGAAAATGCGAACATGATAATCTTCTGTTTCATAAACAAGTATTTATTTTTCAGTTTTGTCTATCTTTATAAACATAAAATTAACATGTTTCATGAATTAGAGAATCGAGAAATAATTGTTATAAAAAAGGAGTTTTATTTACATACATTTACATAATAAACCAATATAATTACATAACTGTGGTACATGCTAGGATATTTACTTAACTATTAACATGGGTTAAAGTAATTTTTTGTGACCAGATTCTTCAGTTCGATTATTTTTTCGTCGAATTTTTTCTTACGGCGCGTAAATTGAGGTTGAAAAAAATATGTAAATTGTGGAAAATTGTTTTAGTTGAAGTCGTGGAAACATGTTTTACGCCGAATAATAAATTTACGCACATGTTTACATGTTTACCTGTAATTAAGGAAATAAAAAAACATATTAAATTTGTCATTATGAAGGTTAAAGTTAAAATATCAACATATTGTCTTAACACAGCTTTTTATAAAAGTTTTGAAAAAATAAGAAGAAAGAGGCAGCTTCATGTAGTAAATATTTTGAAAAAATAAGAAGAAAGAAGCAGCTTCATGTAGAAACCATTTTGAAAATCTTTATCTGAATATATTCAACATAAAGATATAGAGCGATGCATTTGAAAATATAATTAAGCAATTAAGAAAATAACAAAAATCAGTTTTTTATTACAAAATTAGAGAGTTTAAAGGGAGTGACCGGCTATGTAAGGTAGTTTAATTTAGTACGCAGTGTTGTCGAAAACTTTTTTCGGATTCATTTGAGACATATTTCACTTTTTAAAGATCTGTAAATCCTGAGTTTGAGCGCAAATTAGAAGAACAAAACTCCTACTTTGGGGGTGGATACGCTCTCAGAATTAGTTTTTTTTTAAATTATTAAATAACGACAACGAAAAATAAAGTAAAAATTATGCAGTAATCCTTTTAAGTAAAAAACAGAAATCAGTTTTTTATTGCAAAATTAGAGAGTTTAAGGTTTTGTTTTGATTAAAGAATTTCAAGGTTAATCTCTTGCAGAAAAATATGATTCTTCTTCTATGCTCCCAACCTTGTTTCTACTGCTCCAATATCTTGCTCCTCAATTTAGGAAACAGTGCTCAAATGCTAAATAAATCATAATTAGAAGACTCCAACCAAAACCAAACGGCAAAAGACAAATTCATGCGAAAGTTTTAGCTCTTCAAAAAGAGTTTTTGATATATGAAAGTTTCGAGCTTATTTAAGAAAATATTGATCTTTACCCCAAATATATACAATATTAAATTTTCTGATCTAAATTGGAAAGGAATTTACAGTTTTTCCTGGTAAATTAATTTTTCCAGCTTATTCTTCTTCAACTAAGAAATATACAATGATACAGTTCAAAAATATCTGTCTATCTATCTATCTATCTACAATTCTTCTAAATCTAACACTCTCAGATCCGTGAAACAAAAAAACAAAAACTCTTTTAGAAAGGAGTTGAGTTTTTGCCCCAAACTCTGATTTTCTATTCTCTATATCTTTGCAACCCAATGTCGTAGACCTTAGATATTTCAAACTATTAATACTTATAGATAGAATAATCTAAGTTTGAAATATCAAAGGTTTGCACCATCTGGTTGCACAGATATTGGGATCAGAAGATTTGAGTTTGTGGAAAAAACTCAATTCCTTTTCGGTTTATTTAACCATCTTCAGGGCATATTCTATCTATCTATCTATCTATCTATCTATCTATCTATCTATCTATCTATCTATCTATCTATCTATCTATCTATCTATCTATCTATCTATCTGTATCCCCTCCTGTCTGCTGTAACTATATAATGATATGCTAATCTATATTATAGTATATTAATTGATTAAAAGTTTCTGTTTGCCTGTATATCTGGTCAGAAAGTTTGACTGTAGGTTGGATAGGTTAACCAAACTCTTAATATTGATAAAGTTTCCAAGTTAGACCCTGAGCACTGCAGGATTGGGTCTAATTACTCCGGGGTTGGAGTTACATCAATATAGTCCTGTGTTGTCTGGTTAACCGTTTACTATAATTACACGGATGTTTGGTTTGTTGACACCAAGCTTATGTAAACAAATTGGAAACAGTGTAAACTATACTTAATTAATATAAAATTATGCTAATGCAACACTACATGGAGACATGAAAATAATTCAAGTTAATGAATTTTGCAGCTTTAAATTAAGTGCACGGCATTGCCGTAATTTTGAACTGAACAGATAGAAAACAAAATTAAACCTTGCTCTGAATGCAATCCATATTTTCATCACAATTGCATAGTTTGTTGTTAGACCTCTTATTTGGTTTCTATTTTTAAATATAATTTTCTCTCTAATTTATTCTCCTTTACAAAAGTATTCAAAACATTTCATCCTCAGAAGATTTATTTTTCACGGTATATTTGAGAATTTTATTACCTTCAGAAGAATTTCTCTTCTATCTCTGTCTTCCGTCCTGGATCCGTCCTTCTCTTCAACCTGGACATTCTCCTCATCTTCTCCCCTGTCCTCCTCTCTGTCCTCGATCCTTTCTATATCAACTACTTCATCTCCTTCAGAATCTTCTTCATCCAACTCAGCAGGATTATTCTCCCGCTTCTTCTCCTCCTTCTCCTCTTCTCCTTTGTTGAAAGGTTGGAATGCAGACTCTCTAAATCCAGGTCTAAAAGCAGGCACAGATATTGTAACTGAACAAGCTTAGGTTAGATACAGTAGAGGAACAAGTTAGTAAAGGAACGGTTCAGATAGGTTTAGTGGTTTCGTAGAGGAACAGGTCCAGATGCAGGTTTAGAAAAGGAACAGGTTCAGATACAAGTTACGTAAAGGAACAGGTTCAGATGCAGGTTTAGTAAAGGAACAGGGTTAGATACAGGTTTAGTAGAGGAACAGGTTCAGATACAGGTTTAGTAAAGAAACAGGTTTAGAACAAGGCTTAGTAAAGGAACAGGATTAGATATAGGTTAGTAAAGAAACAGGTTTAGAAACCGCTTTAGTAAAGGAACAGGATTAGATACAGGTTTAGTATAGTAACAGGTTCAGATACATGTTTAGTAAAGGAACAGGGTCAGATACAGGTTCACTAAAGGAACAGGTTCAGTTACAGGTTTGGTAAAAGTAACAGGTTTAGATACAGGTTTAGTAAAAGAACAGGTTCATATACAGGTTTAGTAAAAGGAACAGGTTCAGATACATGTTAGTTTAGGAATAGGCTCAGATACAGGTTTAGTACAGGAACAAGTTCAGATCCAGGTTTAGTAAAGGAACAGGTCCAAATGCAGGTTTAGTAAAGGAAAAGGTTCAGATACAAGTTACGTAAAGGAACAGGTTCAGATGCAGGTTTAGGAAAGGAACAGGGTTAGATACAGGTTTTGTAAAGAAACAGGTTCAGGTACAGGTTTAGTAAAGAAACAGGTTCAGATACAGGTTTAGCAAAGAAACAGGTTTAGATACAGGTTTAGTAAAGGAACAGGTTTAGAGACAGATTTAGTAAATGAACAGGTTCAGATACAGGTTTAGTAAAGAAACATGTAAAGATACAGGTTTAGTAAAGGAACAGGTTTAGATACAGGTTTAGTAAAGAAACATGTAAAGATGCAGGTTTAGTAAAGGAACAGGTTTAGATACAGGTTTAGTAAAGAAACATGTAAAGATACAGATTTAGTAAAGGAACAGGTTTAGATACAGGTTTAGCAAAGAAACATGTAAAGATACAGGTTTAGTAAAGAAACAGGTGTATAGATACATATTTAGTAAGAAACAGGAAAGGAAAAGTTTCAGAACCTGCAGATTTCTGTACAATCCTTTTCTATTCTGAACTCGAAAATGAGTTTTCTATCAAATTAGATAAAAGATCGATTTGTTCACTGATGCTGCCAATCAAATTTAGAATCTGCGCCAACCAGTAATCCAGTCAAAATATACTGGGTTCGATTCAATCAAACCAATAAAATTACGGGAACAGGAGAAAATCTAATTTTACTTGATTTTGGATGAAACTAGATTTATGTTTGGAGCGTGATAAAGGAAAGAAAAATAGTTACACAGAAAACTGAACAGTTAGAGAACTGAACAATTAGAGAACTGAACAGTTAGAGAACTGAACAGTTAGAGAACTGAACAGTTAGAGAACTAAACAGTTAGAGTACTGAACAGTTAGAGAACTGAACAGTTAGAGAACTGAACAGTTAGAAAACTGAACAGTTAGAGAACTGAACAGTTAGAAAACTGAACAGTTAGAGAACTGAACAGTTATAGAACTGAACAGATAGATAATTAAACAATTAAATAACTTGATATTTTGAATAGAAAATTTTAGTTTGGAACAGTTGTTTTAAAAATATTCAGAAATCAATTTGAGAATGAAAATTAATATATTTAAAGTATTTAAATAGAATTGGATATTGTAACCCTGAGCTAAATGGTTTATTACCTGAAGAAAGGACCGTCCATAAACTCTGATACCGAGGTTCGTTTCTTCTCTCTCTCCAGGTTAGAATTGTTGTTGGAGAAGAAGAAGTCTAGGAAAGGTTGTGTATGGTTGGGTTGGAAGAGTGTATCTTTTCCAGGTATAGCTGCTGGAAGACCTGGATGTGGGAAGGGTGGAGCTAGGGGTCGGTCAGGCCATAGGAAGGGATACTGGGGCCTAGGCCATAGATACTCCCGGATATTCCTGGTTGGAAGGTTCGGGAGCTTGTAAAAAGATTGGATAGGTTCGCTTAGCTCAGGTTCGGAGATGGTTTCCTGCTTCACTTGTTTAGGAAGAGGAGGAGAGAGGAGAGGGGATTCTGAGGAGAAGGAAGGGGTGGGGGAGTCTCCAGAGGGTAACATTCTCTTTCTTGTACCTCCGTTAAACATAGCCTGAAAATAGGAATATGTATTTTTTATCATTGTAGTAATGATCGACTAGGAAACATCAGGTTATAATTAGAATATGAAACTAGGAAGCTGAAGGTCGAGTTTTTTGTTCATGCGTGATAAACTTAGAGTTTTTTAAAAACAATTAAACTTATTTAAATATTTTGCCTGATTTGTAAATTTAAGAACTGAATGAGCTTGCGTTTAGCTTAGTGTTAGTATGAATGGAGTAATTGAAAAAATGCTGATTGGGTTTGGGTTAGAGCTTGCACATTTTGGATGACTGTGAAGAAGGAGGAAAAGTTATATAGGGTGTCCTAAAAAACAAAAAGATTTAACGTCTTATGAGTTATGATCTGTCCAAAATGTAATCTGCCTTCTTTTTATCTTCGAAATTGACGGAGATATTAAACAAATCAATGATTTTGTTTTAATTCAATGAATTTGAATCTGGACAGATTTCTCGATAGCTCAGTAAATAAAAATAGTAGTTTTGATATTAAATTTGTGTTCTGGTAATAATGCTGCGCTAACCAAAAACGATATAGAAGTCGTCACTCATGTTTATTGGGGACACCCTGAAGGACGAATATTACCTTCACATCCTCCCATGCATGAACCACCTCATCTGGAGGATCTCCCACTAGACAAATATGTCTCCTCCAGGAGTTAAAATTAGCAGCGTCAGGTTGAATGTACTTCGTATCATCTGTTATTCTAAAAATAACTGGTTTAATCTTGTATTCTTAGAACATACCATGCGTTCATGTTGCAGCTTAAACACACCCATTGTATTCTTAGAACATACCTTGCGTTCATGTTTCAGTCTGAACACACCCATTGTATTCTTAGAACATACCTTGCGTTCATGTTTCAGTCTGAACACACCCATAGTATTCTTAAAACATACCATGCGTTCATGTTTCAGTCTGAAGTTTGTAGTTTAGATAGCTCGTATGAAATCTACGAATTCTGACACAAAAAAGTTTGATTTTGTTGACTAGAACATTGAAAAATAAAAATCGTTAAAATATTTTAAATGTTAAAGTCAGCATTTACTTTTTGCATTGTACAATAAAAGCAAAATAATAGCGTATGATTTTTAATATGTTCTTAGATTTTTAGAAGCCTCTAGATTGCAAAAAGTCTACGTTTTAAGGGAGTGTTCGCTAAAAATGAAAGGTGGTATAGGCATACGTCGAAAAATAAAAACAGATCTGCCAAATTGAACAAAAAAGTAATTATCTCCTATATTCCGAACAAAACATTCTATTATTTGTTATTTTAAACAGACTTTCTGAACTAATATACTTAAATAGATCTATTCATAAGAATGTATTTACTAATTTTAAAACTGTCATTTTGTGTTCAAGTTTATTTGTGACAACTGTCTAATTCTTGTGTCATAAGATACAGGGTTACCCTGAAAGGATAAAACTTCAGAGACAACTGTATTCAGAACTTTTTGATTGAATTTAAGATGGCAGACCTTTCAACCATCAGAACATCCGAGTTTCTGGTTTCATGGATTTAAAGTTGAGAAATCAGAATACAAATCAAAAAATATAAAGAAACCACATGAAATAATATTTCGTTGCAAAAAATATTGGCATCCACAAAAATGTTTGACCCCATTCATGAAATTGAGTTTCCGATTCTAGGTCTTATCACGATACTAACTGTCTTAAGTTTTGAACTCTGTGAACTATGGGTTTGTGAACTGGTGAACTGGTTTGTGATTTTACCTGTGAGAATGAAACACGAACTTGTTTGGAGAGAAGAAAACTGTACAAAATATACATTTAATACATTTAGCTCTAAACATTAGAACTCCGTCAAGATTAAATTCATATCTAGCTGCTGTGTGATCGAAAAGTAGATCACAAAATCTGATTTTCTAATCCCTATTTCATTACAAAAAAAGATTCGTAGACCATATTTAAACCATGAATTCTGTTAGATCAAATAATCTAAGTTTGAAATATTAAAGGTTTACACCATCAGGTTGCATCAGTTTGTCGCAAAGACTGAATTCCTTTAGACAATAGTAAAAAATTATGCAGAAAATAGTCTAAATTATCTAAGTATTTATGAAATGTTCATGATTACTGGTACACATAAAAAATATTCTTTTTTTAATTGTTTTTTTTTTGTGAGAGTTAGGTGGGGGTGGGTTAGAAACATGTTAACGTAGTTCTATTCCTAGATGAGTTGTATCTAGACGGAGAGAACTGTCCTCTGCAACCCCAGGCGCACTCATGATATATCTCAAAAGCAAAGTTGTCTGGTAGACGAGGAGGAGAATTATCTCCAAGGAAACTCTTGCATAATCTCTCAGCTTCTCTTCGTGTGATCATACCACATCTCCTTAAACAGAGAAAGATTAAACGACGGAGCAAAGGATGACTATTGTGATGAGTATTTGCAGAAAAGCATCCGATACGGATCTTTAAAATTCTCTACGCACATTGACATTGGCAGGCTGTTCGCCATAGAAAGTCCATTTTTCTTGAGATCCGTTGCTGTTGGTTTTCTCAAATACTATGCGAAATGCGAAATGAACAATTTTGAAAATGGCCAAGTCAGGGAAACCAGGAGATAACAGAATTGCAGCAATATTAATGAAGTATCATTCTCAAATATATATTCTTTTATCGAAGTTAAACCTGACTGAAGATAATTGACAGATTAACTAAAGGAATTGAGTCTTTGGAACAAAATCAAATATTTAAACCACAATATCTTTAGAACTCGATGTTGTAAACCTTTGATATTTCAAACTCAGATTATTTGATCTAACAGAATTCATAGTTCGAAATATCTAAGATATGCAACACTTGGTTCCAAAGATATAGTGATTAGAAAATCAGAGTGTGTGGCAAAGACTCAATTCCTTTAATTAACAAATATCTGAGTATTGTTTACCTGGATGAGATTGGCATAGCGCCAGCCCTGCGTAATATCTCTAGTTGAACCGGCGTACACTGTACGCATGTTATACCCAGTGCAACTCTTCTATTGTGGATTTCATTGTAAGAAAATTCCTAAAAAAGAAAACAGATGATTTACATTTAAAATCAAATACAATGAAAATATCAATAGTTTTTAGCCACTTAAATTATGATAGTTTATGACTGTTTCTGAATATTACTTAAACTGAGATGGTATTTAAATACTTAAATTATCATAGTTCATGACAGTTTCTGAATACTACTGAAACTAATTGATGGTTTCTAGATACTTAAATTATAATAGTTTCTAAATAATTGAATTATGATTGTTTCTGAATACTTAAACTAAAATAGTATTTTAATGCTTGAATTATGATAGTCTCTAAATATTTTAATGCTTGAATTATGATAGTCTCTAAATATTTGACTTATGATAGTTTCTAAATACTAAGTCTAAGATAGTCTTTTAATACTTGAATTATGATATATTTGAATTAGTATAGTTTCTAAATACTTAAACTTTTAATGCTTTAATTATGATAGTCTCTAAATATTTGAATTATGATAGTCTCTAAATATTTGAATTATGATTGTTTTTAAATACTTGAATTATACTAGAGTTTCTAAATACAATTATGCTAGTTTCTAAATACTTAAACTAAGATAGTCTTTTATACTTGAATTATGATAGTTTCTAAATACTTGAATTATGACTGTTTTTAAATAATTGAATTATGCTAGTTTCTAAATACTTAAACTAAGATAGTCTTTTATACTTGAATTATGATTGTACGCAGAAACTAACTAATCCAGGTCTAGTACGGGGAAACTAACTAATCTAGTTCTAGTACGCAGAAACTAACTAATCTAGGCCTAGTGCGAAGAAACTAACTAATCTAGGCCTAGTGCAGATAAACTAACTATTCTAGGCCTAGTACGGAGAATCTAACCAATCTAGGTCTAGTACGGGGAAACTAACTAATCTAGTTCTAGTACGCAGAAACTAACTAATCTAGGTCTAGTACGGAGAAACTAACTAATCTAGTTCTAGTACGCAGAAACTAACTAATCTAGGTCTAGTGCGAAGAAACTAACTAATCTTGGCCTAGTGCAGATAAACTAACTATTCTAGGCCTAGTATGGAGAAACTAACTAATCTAGATCTAGTACGGAGAAATTAACTATTCTAGGCCTAGTACGGAGAATCTAACCAATCTAGGTCTAGTACGGGGAAACTAACCAATCCAGGTCTAGTACGGGGAAACTAACTAATCTAGGTCTAGTACGGAGAAATTAACTAATCTAGGTCTAGTACGGAGAAACTAACTAATCTAGGTCTAGTACGGAGAAACTAACTAATCTAGGCCTAGTACGGAGAAACTAACTAATCTAGTTCTAGTACGCAGAAACTAACTAATATAGGCCTTGTGCGGATAAACTAACTCATCTAGGCCTAGTGCGAAGATCTAACTAATATAGGCCTTGTGCTGATAAACTAACTTATCTAGGCCTAGTACGGAGAAACTAACTAATCTAGGTCTAGTACGGAGAATCTAACTTTATAGTACGGAGAAACTAACTAATCTAGGTCTAGTACGCAGAAACTAACTAATCTAGGTCTAGTACGGAGAAACTAACTAATCTAGGCCTAGTACGGAGAAATTAACTAATCTAGGTCTAGTACGGAGAATCTAACCTATCTAGGTCTAGTAAGGAGAAATTAGGTGAACCTGATTTTGTTTCATCTGTTCTAATCTTCTCTGTTCTTCTATTGGATCTTTCACAAGGGGATAGGGATATCTAAAATATTATTCATTAAATCTTCTTTAGATAAAGTGGCACGGAAGGGAAATTATTTTTCGACACAAACTTTAATTTTCTTATCCCTTTATCTTTGAAACTCGATGTCGTTTTCCTTGGTTTCAAATTATGAATTCTGTTAGATCAAATAGTCTAAGTTTGAAATTTCTTTTTACAGCATCAGGTTGCAAAGAAATAGGGATTGTAGAGTTTGTGGCTAATACTTAATTCCTTTTAATTCTGTTTTTAGATATTCGCCATAAAAAAAGAGAACAGGATGAATTTGAATAAAATATCTGAAGAATCTTACTTTATTTCTGGACTAAATAGTCCGTATTTATTCTCCTCCTGACTTTGCATTACGAGAAAACTCCATCGAAACCTCAATCTTTAAATTGGTAATAGATGTAGCACTGTAGAAGTAGAGAACTTTGAGTGGAGCTTTGTATAAAACAAGTTGTAGAGCTGTAGAATTTTTTGTAGAATTGTAGAACTGCAGACGTGTAGAAATGTAGAACTTTTAAATAGTAGATCGGTTGGACTATGGAACTGCAGATCTATAAAACTGTAAAAGTATAGAACTGTAGAACTGAGAACCATAAAACAGGGAAAATACCAATCTGCAGAACAGTGAAACTGTACATAGAACCGTATAATAGCAGAACCTTGCAGGATATGGTTTCCTCCGAGAACTGCTGAGCTGAACCTATCGGAGAAGTAAACCCTGGAGATCCAAACCATTCCCGGTTTTGTATCCGTCCTCCGGTAATCCTCAATACTAGCCTCCTATTGGTTCTTTATCCTCCGGTCTCCTACCATTGGACCCATGGTTTAATCTCTCCTCCTATTGGTGTATGAACACGATGTTATCGGAACCTCTCCAATAGGATCTGAGTAAAGGCGGTAACTAACAAGTTCTCTCAAGTATAAGTATGATTTTCAGACGGATGAGAAGGATGAGAAGAAGGATTATCTATCTATCAACAATACACAAATTTACAAAGTTCTGATGAGATTTTTCTATCTTTTATTTCTCCCTGATAGCGGCCCGGGAAAAAAACTCAGCTAAAAATGGTTTCCAACGTTGGTATTTATAAAGTTTCAATCAAATTGAATGGTTTGAGTAAAAGTTTCTTTGAAAACACAAATATCTATCTTCATTATTGTTATACTATTACTCACGTCACAAAGAGGTTTAAAGAGTACTTAAAATTGAGGTTGTCTTTTTGTTTTCTACTTGCCAAATGTGCAAAAAATGATCGAATTTATTCATTTATTTTACGTTTTTTAATAATTAATAGTACTTTATTCAGGCAATATTGCGATGTTTATATATATATTTATTATATATGTATACAATATTATATATTCAGACAAAACATTTTAAAAAAGTTTCATGATAATTAGAACCCTCCTTTAAAATAATATGAAATTAAAAGAAAGAACAAATGATGATATTACGATTGACTGATAGTAAATTTAAAAAAATACTGCGTAATTCGTGAGTAATACTAAAACGTTATTTTTGAAGTCAAACAGTTTGAATTATTTAAAACTGAATTAAGAAAATTTTTGTTTACTTAAATCGTTGAATTAATTTTACTTCATTTTTGATAGTAAAAGTGTAAAGATATTATTAACAAGAAACATATCAATAAGATTTCTCATGTCAATTACTCTGTGTGTTTAATGTAGGATGAAGATTAGGTTGAATTGGTTTGGAGGAGCAATCCTTGGGTTGGATAACAAGGACCCCAGGGAACCACTAGGATTCTGTGTATTGAACACTACCCGGAGATCTGACCAAATATATCATGTTTACCAATGAGAAAAGAACAAAGAAGAGGAAGATGGAGATTGTTTACATTTTACTACATCAGTCTGACATATTTTGACAGTTCAGAATCTAGTTTTAAGCATTAATTGCACAGGCCCGGTCCTCCTTCGCTAAAATTCTTACAATTGTTTACAATATTTTTCAAGGTTCCATGAAATCTAGTTTCTTAGGTGTCCAAATACGTTTCTGAATACACAACCCCTGTTTACCTCTCCTCACATTGGTTTTTAAATTTTTTTCCTGGAGCAAAATCCAAAAGAATCTCCATCTAGGGGTATTTTATGAAATACATAGAAACAAATTAAACTTTATATATTTCATGAAATACATAGAAATATATAGTAAACTTTATATATTTCATGAAATACATAGAAACATATAGTAAACTTTATACATTTCATGAAATACATAAAAACATAGTAACTTTATATATTTCATGAAATACATAGAAACATAGAAAACTTTATATATTTCATGAAATACATAGAAACATAGTAAACTATATATATTTCATGAAATACATAGAAACATTGTAAACTTTTTATATTTCATGAAATACATAGAAACATGTAAACTTTATATATTCATGAAATACATAAAAACATAGTAAACTTTTTATATTTCTTGAAATACATAGAAACAAAGTAAACTATATATTTCATTAAATACATAGAAACATAGAAAACTTTATATATTTCATGAAATACATAGAAACATAGTAAACTTTATATATTTCATGAAATACATAGAAACATACTAAACATTATATATTTCATGAAATACATAGAAACATAGTAAACTTTATATATTTCATGAAATACATAGAAACATAGTAAACTTTATATATTTCATGAAATACAAAGAAACATGGTAAACTTTATATATTTCATGAAATACATAGAAACATATAGTAAACTTTACTTATTTCATGAAGTACTTTTTTTTAAGGAAATATATATAAAAACATAAAAAACTTCAAAATTTCATATATCTCATTTCATGACGCAGTTTTAAGTAATTATCTACATAAAAACATTGTTCGTCAACTTTATTTAACATATAAATTAACTTTCATCATCTTTTAACTTTTAAAGTAATTTTTGTGTTATCTTTGTACGCAATATTTTTGCTAGTTGAATGCAAAAATGTTTTAAGAAACAAGATAATATAGTCATGATTTATATGAAGAATAAATTCTGAAAGAAGTCTCAGTTTTTAAAGAGAAACTATCCAGATAATGGATAATGTATATATTAAGTCTTCTAAGTTTGCTGAATTAAATTGTATGTGTGGTGTTTAAATGAGTTTGAACCTGCTTAAAATGCATTAACCTCCAGGTTTAAATCGAACAGAATGATTACTTTTAGTTGGATCTCTCTCTCCTGGTCTCCCAGGGGACAGTAAATCAACAAAATTGAAATTAGTCAACTCTAGCAGGGGTTCATGTAACACATTCAATAGGGGGTAATAATTCAATATTCTCGATTTTCTTGACAAACATGTTAAAATGAACGAATTTGAAAATATTCTAGAATGATGAGACCTTATAGTGTGGTAAAATTCCCATTGGTTAGAGGTGAGAATCACGGCCCTGGTTTAATCAGGACACAACCAGAGGAAAACTTACACATTTCAGACTTTACAGACTTAAACCAGACAATTGAGTAGAATAGGTACAGAGAATAGGATATAGGTGGAGAGAGTAGAATAGAGGTAGAGAGAAAAGGATAGAAAAGGAGAGAACAGAATAGAAGTAGAGAGAATAGGATAGAGGGGGAAGAACATGATAGAAGAGGAGAGAATAGGATAGTGTAGAATAGAATAGGATAGAGGAGGAGAGAATAGGATAGAAGAGGAGAGAATAAGATAGAGGAGAATAGAATAGGATAGATGAGGAGAGAACAGGATAGAGGTGGAGAGAATAGGATAGAGGTAGAGAGAATAGCATAGAGGTGAGAGAGTAGGATAGAGGGGGAGAGAATGGGATTAAGATTAGGATAAAGGAAAAGAGAGTAGAATAAAGATATATAGATTAGGATAGAGAGGGAGAGAGAATAAAGATATAAAGAATAGGATAGAAAGGGAGAGAGAATAAAGATATAAAGAATAGGAATAGAATAAAGATATAAAGAATAGGATAGAAAGGGAGAGAGAATAAAGATATAAAGAATAGGATAGAAAGGGAGAAAGAATAGGATAGACGGGGGAAAGAATGGGATTGAGATTAGGATAGAGGAAAAGAGAGTAGAATAAAGATATAAAGATTAGGATAGAGAGGGAGAGAGAATAAAGATATAAAGAATAGGATAGAAAGGCAGAGAGAATAAAAATATAAAGATTAGGAATAGAATAAAGATATAAAGATTAGGATAGAAAGGGAGAGAGAATAAAGATATAGAGAATAGGATAGAAAGGGAGAAAGAATAGGATAGATGGGGGAGAGAATGGGATTGAGATTAGGATAGAGGAAAAGAGAGTAGAATAAAGATATATAGAATAGGATAGAGAGAAAAGGACGAAAATAGAAAAGAAATTGAGATCAGCCAGAGCGGGAACTTTAGAATGGATAACCTTTAATCCCAATTACTTAATCCGAATATCCACTGTGGAAACTTTTAATTTTAGTCCTTAATCCACTCTTTTTCTCTCTAATTGGATATCCTTACATTATTTTCTCCAGTGAGAGTGCAGGAATAAAGTTCGTACATTGTATTGACCAATGACAGCAGCCCTGTAAATAAATTCTATCCGCAATTTCTAACAAATCAAGAATTTGTTGTCGGCCATTTTGGGAAAGAAAAAATTAATCGATGAAGAAAAATATTTAATAATACGTTTGAGATTCTTTTGTAATCAATTTTAACTAATGTATTAATAAATAAATGGGTGAGAAATTAAGTGAGGGCCCTTTCAGTCAAGAAAGCCAACAAATCTGGCGTTCTTAGAATCCAATTTGTTGATCTAAATATTTAATCTCAAGACTTACATAATCTCGAGATTATGTTAGTCTCGAGATTAGCAAAAACAGAGGATTAAGCATGAATCCTGATATCCACCTTTCTAAAGTTCCCAGCTCTGAACAAACAGTACAGCAAGAAATGTAATAAATAAAATTAAGGGAAGAAGGAATATGAACAAAATATAGGATGAAACTTTGAAGACGACCAGAAACTCTTTGGATATGATGGTCTAAAATATTTATGTAAATCTTTGTACTTAATTCAGATTTTTAAAGGTATGTCATATGATCGGTAAACGAAAGAAATAAGTTTGGACTGCAAGGAACCATAAATTTAATAATTGAGGATAAATAAATATTCCGTACAGTCGTCTCTGAAGTCTCATCCTTTGTTGGTAACCCTGTATATTGGAGTTTTACTATATTAAAAATAAAACAGAGTATCAGGTAGAATCAAAAAGAGTGAAAATTTTAAAGTAATCAAAGAAAAAAGAAAATGTTATTGGCATCATAAAAATAAAATATGAATCGAAAAAGAAAAAATACGTCTTAAACATGAGCAAAAAAAGCATAAATACGTCTTAAACATGAGCAAAAAAAGCATAAATATGTCTTAAACATGAGCAAAAAAGCATAGATACTTTTGAAACTTCTTGTTAATGTAATCATGAAAATAGAACATATTTGATTGAAGAGCACATCTGTATTTCGTGTATATAATCTGTGCTAGGTACGGATATCGCAGTAGTACATTCAAACTGTTTCCGGTGTTTTCATCACTAACTTTTCTTTAACAATATGAGGTAATAAATTCAGAAATACATGATAAAGCTAGAGTGGTTCCCCCAAAAATGATCTTGTAACGCTACATACAGTAATCATAAGTAAAAATTTAAATGAAAGTCGGTTTCTTTGATCTTTTATTAGAGTTCATTTGCTAAAAATTTGTGTAGTCTGTATTATGGCTTTAAATGATATTTCCTTCAAACGATTATGGCACATTTACTGAGTCAAAACATTTATAATTTACCACACGAATTTTCTAGTGGACTTGTTAAAGACGAAAATCATACAGTTTTTCGATAATTAATTTGAAATACAATGAAAAAATAAAAGAAGATATTGAACCATAGCACATATTTTCGTATCATTTTTTGGACAGAATCATAGTGCACAATTTCGTGTCTTGGATAGTTTGCCAAGTAGGATTACAAATTTAATAAATGCTAATTCTAGGTTAAGCATTATTCTGAGCGTTGTTCTCCTTCTCCTGAACCTGGTTCGACCAGGTTTATCCTTCCCTCGGCAGGAACTCAAGACTAGAGAGGAGATCATGAATTATCTTCTTGAGAAGGTAGAGAGAAAACCTTCGTCTTAGGTCATTAATCTATATATCTATATATATATCGCATGAACCTCTTAATTGATTGGGGAGCTTGTTAGAACCATGGGAATATTCTTAGCTTGGTTTAAAAATTCTAAGTTGAGTGCGTTGACATTTATAGAGACGGTTTAGTTTTCAGGTGAAGCTGGAACAGTTGTCATCCTCAATACAAGTATAGACGACTTTTGATTTCTACCAAGCTCTCAAATATTAAAACTTTCATATTTTTTTTAATAGCCGAATTTTAATTTTACGTTATGATTGACAAAATATTAGAAAATCTTTTGACCTGTTAGGTTTTGAAAACTTCAGTTCTATTGTTAGATTAGGTTTAACAAATTGAAAAGTTGTAAAAATGTTAGAGACATCGTTTTTATTAATTTCTGATAAAAATTAACATTTTTCAGTGGTTTTCACAAATGTGAATTAAAGTGGAATCTTAGCTTATTTATTATAAAGCTATGGCATATTTCCACATTGTAACAGCCCTTCACTTTGTCCTATGTAGTCAAAAAAGCTTAAAAATTTACATTCCATAATTCATAATTAAACCAATAATTAAGATCTTTGTTTGTCGGCATTCTGAAATTTAATCATTTATAAAAAATCTGCAAAATCATACTTTATTTCAGGTTACAGAGGAAGGGAAGAATCTTCCTCTAGATGATGAGGTTCTTGATGATGAGGATGATATTGAAGATGAAATAGATGCTTTACTTTATGAATAACATTATTTCTCCTCTTTCCATCCCCCACAATATAACAAACACCTTAAACCTGTCATAATTTATCCATCAACATATAATAGTCATCATCAATTTAATTCATTTCATGAAATATATATTTTATCCATAACAATTTACTAAGTTAATGTTCGGACCTGATATGTGGGAATTGTAAAAATTGTCCCAATAAACGTGGGAATTCTTCTTTTATATCGTCTTCAATCCGTGCGGCATTTTTTCATAATCACAATTATTGCAGTATTCCAGTTTAAATATCTAATATCAAAATCGCCTTATCATGAGATTTTCAAAATGTGGTCTATCATGATTAATGTCGGGATACATTTGGTTAGGTGGTCGGGTATATATTTGTTTAGGGGGTCGGGGATACATTTGGTTAGGAGGTCGGGGATATATTTTGTTTATGGGGTCGGAAATACATTTGTTTAGTGGATCGGGATATATTTGGTTAGGAGGTCGGAAATATATTTGTTAAGGTGATCGGGATATATTTGGTTCGGAAGTGCATGGTGGAGGATATATTTGTCTAGAAGGTGGAGGATATATTAGGTCAGGAGGTTGAGGATATTTTAGGTCAGGAGGTCGAGAAGATATTAGGGTAGGAGGTGGAGTATATATTAGGTCAGGAGGTGGAGGATATATTGTGCCAGGAGGTGGAGGATATATTAGGTCAGGAGGTGGAGGATATATTAGGTCAGGAGGTGGAGGATATATTAGGTCAGGAGGTGGATATATTAGGTCAGGAAGTGGAGGATATATTTGGTCAGGAGGTGGTGGGTATATTAGGTCAGGAGGTGGAGGATATATTAGGTCAGGAGGTGGAGGATATATTAGGTCAGGAGGTGGAGGATATATTAGGTCAGGAGGTAGAGGATATATTAGGTCATGAGGTGGAGGATATATTAGGTCAGGAGGTCGAAAAGATATTAGGGTAGGAGGTGGAGTATATATTAGGTCAGGAGGTGGAGGATATATTAGGTCAGGAGGTGGAGGATATATTAGGTCAGGAGGTGGAGGATATATTAGGTCAGGAGGTGGAGGATGTATTGGGTCAGGAGGTAGAACATAAAAAAATATGTATATTATAATATTTATTTCACCAAATATGCATAGAACTTAACAATTCATACAATTTCATAATAATAATTTTTATTAAAATATTTACAGTTATCAGTAAAATTAATACCCACTAATTTACAAAGGGTTAATATTTAACTCGGAATCGATAAATCAAGTATTTATTGAATAACTTATCTATAAAAAAATATTTTTTTTAAAGTTTAAAATCCGTTTAAAACAGAATATTATGTTTCTGAAACGTATTCATATTTACGGGGACAATGAATTCAAAAGAACAGAAATAAGTTTACAGAAATCAGAATAATTCTTATTTGAGAAACAAGGACGTATTCAGGAATTTATCCAGGGGATTGAACTGTTAACAATTATCCCGCCGGGGGGGGGGGGGGCTAAGCCCCCCTCCCCTCACGTATAAGCCCCATTTGATTAGAAGTCGATCTCATTAATGATATAGAACAAGTTCCTTCGAAACTTATAATTTAAGGGACTAAATAAAACAATTTTGAGGTGAAACGACACTTTGTAAACAAAAGAGTCAATTAAAAAAGTTTATTAATCCCTTTAAGGGAAGGAGTTGGAAAAATAAGAATTTAAATAAAATTGTTTAATCAAGTACACACGATGAAAACCTAAAGAATGCATTGCTTTCAGGCATAGAATAACTTAAGTTTTGAAACCATTGACAACAAATCTAGAATCAGAAAAAAGTTTTACAATAAAAAAATATCTCCTAGACAAACTCGGACCAAAAAGATAGAAAAACAAGTATTTATAACAGAGTATTATTAATATTCATGATTTAACAGTTCCCCGTTCGACTTTAATTGTTTACTTGTCACAGAGTTTAGTTGATGTGACCATGATGGGTTGTTGACATGAAGGAGTGGAAATGAGTGGAACCTGTGAGTGAAGTGTTGAGGATGGATGAGCAGGAAGGGTTGCAATCCCTCCTGTAGTATCCGCTGAGGTCACAACTGCTCCGGGTAGATCCTAGATCAGAATCAAGTTCATGCTGATTCTAATTCTCCCTTAAAGGTATCCCATAATATAACATCGATATCGAGACAATTTTTCGTACTTAACAGTTAAGCAAAACTGAATATTTTTTGGTATTCATGTATATTGCATAACTTCTATTATTTTTTCCTTTTAGCAACTTCAGAGATAACCAGAAAACATGTTAATAGGAAGAAGAAATTATAGCAACACTTAAGTGTATTTTATGTTGTTACACAGCAAATAGTTTTACTAGACACATATTAAATAACTAATTAAGTATTGCAAAATTGCAGTGTCTTATGCTGATTGGACTTTTTAAGGTTATAACTTGATAAGCAATGATAACGTTCCTGAAAGCAATCCTAATTGTAAAAATGTAGAATCCTAATCTGAATTGTACCTTTTCATCTGCGACGACGAAGTTAACAAGTTCTCCATTAGCGTTCTGTAGGAGTACAGCTCTAGATCCTGCTCCAGACTGAAGAACTATCTCGCCGTCAGCTCCACTCTGCACCAAGATGGGACCAGATAACCCGCCCTGAATACAGGTGAAAGGTGAAAGATTAAGTGATAAAAAGTATTTATTTTCAACCCTAATATTAAACCAGTAAGTATATTAAATGAGAGTATAACCAAGACTGGGGTGGGGGGTGGGGGGTTACTTGAACCCAGTTTTATCGTAAATATTGATAAAGATTGTATAAACAATTTTGGTATTCGCTGTTACTCGATGATTTTATGTATAACTCCAATCCTCTCTATTTAAGTCGACTCACTTAATTTAAAATTTCTAAACCAAGCTAAGAACATTTCCGTGTGTTTAACGCAGCTTTCTAATCAAAATTTAAGGCAAATCGGTCAAAGGATTCACGAGTTATGATCGGACATACAAACAAACAGAGATTACTACTGAATACATATAGATGTTGTTTTTAACTAGTTTTAATGCCTTGAACATCACAGTAGTATCTTAGCAAACCCTATTTTTATCCTTTTTTCGTTACCTCCTTGATTTAAGTACCTGGAGCAGAGCATGATGTCCTCCTGCCCTGGATAACTGGGATTCATCAATTAATATAGTTTGATTCTCCAGCTGAGATCCATCATCTACCAACATATAGTAGATCTGTTCATCTTCTACTTCCTCTCCAACCTGATCTTCGCCAACCACAAGAACCTGGTCTCCGGCAGGAACAGGTTCAACAGGATCAGAGATAATTTCTTTTCTAGGAGACACTGCTGATTCTACATCAGGTTTACTGGGTTCTGGAGTAGACTGGACGGATGATGAATCAGGAACATGTTTCTCCCGTTCACTTTCTCCTGATTGTTTCTGGCTAAGAAGAGCGGCTCTGGCGAGCTGCTTTGCTTTGATCTTCGCTGAGATGGATGCAAATTTATTACTTCCTTTTCCGGAGGAGTCTCGGATCAACTGAGCATTTTCGTCCGGTCTAAATTACAGCTTTAATAAAAACATAACTTAAGCCAAAAGTAGAAACTAACATAGTAAATATTGCACTGAAGTTAGTTGGTTTTGGTTTTCATAACCAAAGGTTAAATCTGATCAAATCAGACTCTTAGGGACGTCCTAACACCAGACTTCAATCCCAAAATGAATTTCAAAATTCAGGACTGAGTTTTGTAGTTTGCAATGAAACAACTTAACATTTGTTATGATATCTTATTCTTATATAAATATGATATTTAGCTTTTAATAAAGATTTTGAAAAACGTCAATTTTGGCGATAATAAAAACAATTTAAAAAACATAAATAAAATAAATAATAAAATAAATGTGTTTAAAATACCTTGTAGGTAATTGAATAGAACCACTGTTAGATTGCCTAAAGATTCCAGGTCGTTTGGATGGAGAAGAAATATCTTTCGGTCCGTCCTCATTCAAGCTCTGATCCTCAGTACTAGTTCCTGATATTCTTCTAGTTCTGGTCTAGATAAACATGATTATTTATACATAAATTTGACATGTCTATTGTATACTGGAAGCTTTTAGGATTTGATTGAAAATTTATCTGAACTTTAGAGATCTTCACAGTTCTGAATACGACGTATTTTGATTACTTGATTATTTTAATTAGACATATTCAAGATTTAGGTCGGCTGTGTGTGGGTAACCCTGTACAGCGGGTTTCTTGTAAAACTAGGCTTAAATATTTCTAGTAATATTCATAGATTTTTATTTATAATGTATTTTGCAGGCATTTTTTCTACGTACATTGAAAAACAATATCAACAAACAAACTTTTGAGATTTTTCTTCTGTTGGATTTTCAAAATAAATGACGTCTATTGAATAAGAGACAATCAAAAAACATATTTACAATAAAAAAGAGTTGAATTCTTATTTTCTACCTTATTCTCTGATAAGGTTGAGATTGACAAAAACTCTTTCCTTCCATTCTTCCCTATATTTTGTCTCATGGTTGGGAATGCAGGTAAATCAGGAACACTTGTTTCCTCTAGTGCCTAGAAATATCATACTTTTATAAATTATAAATTCAATCATGAAATTACATATTTTAATGACAATTTAAAACTTTATAAAAAATGTAAGTATTTTTAGCGCCAAATCAGAAAATAAAAATGAGAGCCNCATATCCTTGTTAATCTTTCTAGGACTAGATTCAGGATGGTAGGAAGCTATTCTCTTCTCTTGGCTTACAACAATATCATCAACCTTAACATACATATCCTTGTTACTCTTTCTAGGACTAGATTCAGGATGGCAGGAAGCTATTCTCTTCTCTTGGCTTACAACAATATCTTCAATCTTAACATACATATCCTTGTTAATCTTTCTAGGACTAGATTCAGGATTGTAGGAAGCTTTTCTCTTCTCTTGGCTTACAACAATATGTTCAATCTTAACAACATATCCTTGTTAATCTTTCTAAGATTTTGTAAATCAAGCTAAGTACGTTCTCGTAGTTCTACCTAGTTTCCCAACCAAAATACTAGACAAATCAGTGAAAGGGTTCTTAAGTTATAACTGGACAAACAAACAGATTACTCCTTTCTTATGGATGTGCAAAAAAGATTAGATTTTTTCATGGACCACCCCCCCCCTAGAAATTTATTTAGTACTATTAGTTTACCTATAAGAAATAACATTAACAGACGAAGAAATAAAAGAAATAAAACTTCAAACATCTGAGCTGATTCTTATCAAAAAATCAGGTTTAAATCTGAAAGGGAACCCAACATAGGTCCTGCCTTCAGGGCGATCCTAGCACGTCTCCCCCTGGTCGACACAATCACACTTTCAACAGTTTAAACTTGGTTAAATCAAACTTCAGAGGGCGACACACACCAACGTGTGGATAGCGGCCTGCACATACAAACTATTCGAGCTAGGATATTAAGCCCCCCCCCCCTCACCCCCAGTATCCAGGCTTAAATGTTCTCAAACGCACGAGCTTAAAACTTCATGCGTTTAGTTTTCCAGGTTTAACAGAACCGAAACGCCGACTAAGGAAAAATTACCAGCTCAGATCTTCCTTTTTTATCTGATCAATTGAACGTTCGGAATGTCTGAAACACAGTACCAATCCTACCTTAAACTCTAGTTCATCTTCTACCTCTGGTGAAGGTTTAAGTTCAGGTTTAGACTTGGGAGAAGATTTAGGTTCAGATTTAGACTGAGGAGAAGGTTTAGGTTCAGATTTAGACTTGGGAGAAGGTTTTGGTTCAGATTTAGACTGAAGAGAAGGTTTTGGTTCGGGTTTAGATTGCGGAGAAGGACTGGGAGATGGTAATATCACAAGTTGAGCAGGCTTTGAAGTTGGCGATAATGATAAGTTCGAAGGCACAGTTTGGGAGTTTTGAGGTTTAATCTTGTTTTCTGATTCTGATATTGTAGGGTCGTCCTCTGAAAGCAAAAATACATAAAGTTTGTATGACGTCTTTGTTTTGAATATCATTATTAATATAATAAGTAACAAGAACGAGTTTCCGAAGTTTCAATGAAAATAAATGAGAAATGGAATTTTTACTATTTTCTCAAGAATTCAAACTCCCCTCTACCCTCCTAAAAAGTCCAATATTGCAGAAAATCCCACCAAGTAATTCCGCTTGATTCAAATAAATCGTTCACACCGGGTTCAATCATTGAAATTCAATATTTAAACATAAAAAATAACTTACGTTTAACATGAGACTTGTATCCGTTTGAGGTTGCAGAACTATTGAGAAGAAGAGCATCATCATCGGAATCCATTGAATAATGATGATGATCATCATCATCAGAGAAATCATTGAGAATACTCTGGTTTATTGAATCCTAGCAAATAGATATGGGTAAAACTTAAGGTATTAGTGTAATTGACTGTAGAGTGTAAACCAGTGCTTCGGATCCAGATCCAAGAGGTAAAATATCAACCAAAAACTGCAAAAAAAAGGGTTTTTACTCCTAAACCCCAATTCTGACCTTTTGAAAATAGAGAGATTATAAAAATTTCCTCATTTTTGAATGGTTTATCAAGTTTTAGGATAAAAACAAGCGAAAAAAAATTAAAAAAAAATTTGAAAATTATTTTTTGTTCAAAAAATTCAGTAAATCTTTCAGTGCGGATCCCCGGATCCGCATCAAAATTAAATGGATCCTAAGCTCTAGTGTAAACAGTGGCGTATTCAGGAAATTGTCCAGGGGGGGAGGGGGGCTTTACCTGAATTTTCTTGAATTCTTCTGCTTCTTCATTTTCATCTTCACTCCAATCTATGAGAAGCTTCTTCTTCTCTTCTTCCTTCTTCTTCTCCTTCTCTAATTTTTCTTCCTTTTGCTTTTTTGTCAATCTAAAAAATATTTTCCCGAATTAAAAAACTCTCATATCCTTGATCCGAAATTAGCCTTTATTATTGGTAAACTAAGATGATATGAATCTTTATAAAGCGTCTTAAAAAACAAATTTTGCACAATAATTTTTCCTCTCCATTCATTTTTAATTAACAGAACATATTTCTTATCACAAGTGTTTTAATCATCACAGGAAATATTCAATAAACTGTTCATTGCACATTGTGCAATGTACAATGTGCAACAGGAACTTGATCAGATAAGGGAACAGTTCTTTTATCTTATCTGAAAATTTAACAGTACTAAACAGAGACATTGGTATCGACAATTGATTTGCTACATTTACCATTCTACTGATTTAGCTCTAAACCTCACTGGTTCTACGTACCTAGGTTTCTTAGTTACGAGTGTTGAACTATTCCCAGGTTTACTCGGAGAACATGAATCCTGTTTCTTTAAAGGTTTACTCACAAACTTCTCTTTGCTCTTCCGCGCTGGGGAATCAGAACTAGAACTGCTCGGCTTCGACCGTTCAATCTTGGTTGGTAAATCTTCAGGTTTCGGAGCATACGAAACCTTAGAGGCACTGTGGGATTTACTATGTAGTACAATAACATTCAACCTTGAGGCAGCGAAGTCACACATCTGGCATCTGTAGTTAGGAATTATATTCTTGGGTTCAACCTTACTCTCGGTATCTATATGGTAGGGGGTGGAAGGCTGAGCTAGAATCCGCACTTTGTGATCCGAGCCTTGTAGAAACCTGGGATGAGTTATTTTCGGCGGAGTCTTTGGTTTTTCAGTTTTCTTTTTGATCTTAACTTTTAATATTGAACTTGGTGTCTTTTTCGTGTCAATAGGTTTATTTTTCTTTTCACTGGGTGTGCTGGGGGTTGATTTGGTGCCCGGTTTACATTTTTTCTCTTTCTCTGATACTTGATCTCCAAATATTCTTCCGTAATCAACTTTAACATCCTTCTTGTCTGCGAATGGTTCTTGGGTCAGTATATCTGGGTTTCCACCGGTCAGATTCTCACAGTGAATAATATCCTTGGGAAATTTAGCAAACCATCCATCCGTAGCTCCCTCCTTAGCCTTGGTTCGAAACCGAGCTGAAATATTACATGGATTAGAACCAGTGCTAAGAATCTATTTCATCATCCAGGGGGAAAATGGATCCGGATCAACCACAAGAATATTTTTTGTTTAGCTAGTTACTTTTACCAATCACAAATTTCCATTCTACTTTATTTCGCTAAAATATGTTTTGTAGAAACTGATTAGAAATTGATGATATCTCATGAAAGTTGACATTGAAATGTGTGTTTGAGAACATTATTTTAATAGTTTTGATTGATATTTTGCAATTTGGATCCGGATCCAGGAAGCTTTAGCGGATCCGGATCCAGGGAGATAAACTGTTCCGGATTCGGATCCAGGGAGCTAAACTGTTCCGGATCCGGATCCAGGGAGTTAAACTGTTCCGGATCCGGATCCAGGGAGCTAAACTGTTCCGGATCCAAGGGATCAGGATCTAACCACTCAGGGCGTGTAACATGAGTTGAGTTTAACCAAATACAATTCTTTATTTTTCCATGTCATGGTTTTAAAATTTTGTAAATAATATTGTATTAATTATTCAGCATATTATGATACTCGAATTTTGATTAGTCTTAGTTAGGCTTTCAGGGCGCTTCGCGCACATCTTCTTTTTAAATTGTGAACATTTTCTGGGTCTGTTCTTGTATACGATTTTGCCCCCTATAATAAGTAACAAGAACGAGTTTCCA